TTAGGGACGTATCTCGACTCGCCGCCGCACCAAGTGAAGGTTTCTGATTTTACTTGCCACAGCCAAGGTGCCAAGGTGTTAATGTTCAAGATTTAATTTTGTTCTTGAATGGAAAATATGTAAAAAAAAAATATGCTTTCTTAGAAGAACTTGTTTGAATATTGATTTAAGCTTTATTAGTAGTAATTGGGATACATACTATTTTGAACCTTCTACTTAATTAATTTTTTTTTTTCTCATATTAAACTCTATTATCCTTATTTTTAAAAACCTTCTACTAATAAGTATGAACTAACATTAATTTAGCGGCATAATCTTATCAAATTATGCATTAAAGTGGCTATAAATTGTAAATATATTTAAAAATTAAAAAAAGATAGTACACTACAAAAAAATATATAATATGTTATTGTTTCTTGGTGAGAAAAGTGGTTGCGCATATTTTAATTAAATTAAAGGAAGTTAATGCAACGTATAGAAGAATTATATTACCCATATTATGATCATAAATAAGATAATAAATTAACTTTTTTGTGTCGGTGGTCTGATCTCTTGAGAACCTCGCGTCCTCGGTCCCATACAACGAAAATGAAAAGAAACTTGTTTATGAGACCCACTAATGACTGCCCTACACACTATGTTTGAGCATCCCAAAGAAGAGCTAGTGTATTTAGGAACAAAATACGCACCTTAACTTTAATCGTTAATCATTTGTTGTTTTATAACTGACTTGTTGCTTGATATTCTATTGACATTTCTTATTTTCTTTTTACTTGTTAAATTTTAATTTCAGGTGTGTTTTCGTTAGGTATCCTTTTTATTTTTATTATTGTATTCCATCTTCGGGCCGATGAATTGCCAATGTTATGTACGCCGTTATTGTCACATGCATCAGCCCATAAATTAAATAGTTTTATTTTCAATATTAAATGTTTGTGATGTGGCAGTACTTTTTTTAATATCCACCGCCTCCTACGAGATAGTGAACTCGCAAAACTTGAAACTTGCCTTCCACGACTCGACGCAGACAAGCAAAATTTTTCCTAAATAAAGAACTTTTAAGGTAATTTTATAGTAATTATAATCAAGTTTTTTTCTTTATACCTTATATTTTGTTATGCTCAATAGACTTGATATTATTGGCAGCTTATCCCCGAAATTGGATAGTGTGGGTATCGTTGCTTTTCAGGGCATGAGAGCCGACCAAAATTTGTATCTAAAGTAGAGCTCTCCGACGCGACGAGTATTAAACTGAATTAAATTGCATTAACTTTAATTCATTGGATATAGATTTACGGCGCAATCGGTGCGAAAATGAACCCGGTCATAATAGCCTCTCAATAAAAAGTTATTCTTGTTCCAATTGTTCAAGACAGGAACCATATGGATGATAAAGTCGAATTGGCTTATCAAACATTAGGAATCCTGTACTACTTCAATTTCTAAGCCACGGCTCTTCTTCTATTTCTTTTTGGCTTCAAACAGCAGAGCGCCGTTCGTATTCATAATCTCGTACGGGTATAATATAACGTACGGTATAATGGAGATTTTATATGTTGTATGTTATGTTTATATTATGTATTTAGATATAAGTTCTAAGGTCTCAGTATACAGTTACAACGGCTGCCCCACCCTTTCATTCCACAAAATTCCAAATTCCACAAAACTCCATAGTATATCGCATTCAATTCTAAAAAGGTGTTATTTTTTTTTACTAATAACACCTTTGTATACACACACCCCTTGTCCAATATTACCTTATAGATTTAGTAATGCAACAGTAATTGCCATTTTTAATTTGACCGACGACAACCTTTTAAACAACCCACAGCGCGTGTGAAATAATACAATGAAATTTGTCTCTTTGTTTTAACGCGCATAATTTCATCATAATTTTAGGTGATTCTGGTCCGATTTTAAAATAAAACTCTGCATTAGACAAGGTAAATATCTAGGTCATTTAAAGTTAAGTAAAGAGTCGAAACTAAATAACAACAACACTGTGTCTCAAATCCTAAAACTAACACAGGTGAAATCGTGGATATAGTCAGTTTTTTTAACACAATTTATTTATCAGTCATGGATCCGTGACCACGAAAACTATAAAGCGTTTGAAACTATCAGAAACAACATAATGTATAAGTATTATAATTTTAATTATGTCTAAGATTCGCGACCAGGCTAGTGAGTTCACCTACTCGCTCGGAGAATCTAGTATAACCCGTCGAGGTTACTAGAAGAGGTAGGAAAAAAAAGGATTCTCGAAAACCGTAGAAAATACCTATTTATCTATTTAAGATTTATCTATCTGATACTTGTATGTCTATTGACCACTTTACAAAACTAATAATTGAGAACTGAAATCCTTATCGATATAATAGCTGGTCGATATGTCTGGGATACTTTGCAAGCTGTGGTACTGCTAATGAAAGTCATGAATTGTTGACGTGGTTGATATTATACTTGCAAAACGTCCGTGCAAACGGCTTAAAGCCCAAATAATTTCAGCGGTCGGTATTAAAACAAATTATGGATCCTCGTAACCCGAATCTTCACAGCGGGTCGCGATTCCGATCCGGTGGTAGATTCAACAAAACACTGCTCTTGCTAGGGGCTAGTGTTATCAAATTGGCCATGCTAAGCCCCGTGAACTCGCCTACGCGCTCGCTGAACACAATATAACCCTTCGAGGTTACCAGCATAGGTAGGCCAAAAAAAAACAATATAACTAGAATCCCACATACGGCCTCTATTAAATAATCCACATGAAATTAACACACACGCGGATTGAATAAGTAAATATACATAACACGTAAACCGAAGATTTCTAACAACTGTACTTGCAGACTTTTTGTTTTTCTTGCATAATCATATCAAATCACATGCCCCGGGCGCACACTGATGAAATTTTCGTTGGGGATGTAGGCGTTCCTAATTTATTAATGCGTTAGGAGATTTTGATAATGTTCTAATTTTCTTGTTCCTTCAAGCGACCTGGTATCAATTAGGTACTGGAGTACTACTAACGTTATTACGCAATATTTTATTATTCGCATTTTATTATTATTACACAGGTTTATTCCGTTATCGTGGAAGTTGTTTATTATCATGTGTTGGGTGTGTATTTAATTGGAGAGAATCGTATCGCCATCGTACCTTCGACGAATACTGTGACTGTGAAAAACTACAACGCTCATTACATTATAGTATCTTATGAAAACATATTGAAGCAAACCATGTTCCCTTTTCTTCCAACGTACCTAGATAGAATATAACTTGAACCCATAACGTATATTAATCCGCACGTATCCGTTATGCTAAAAGTTTTTAAATAATAATAATTAAACTTATACCTACGAAATACTGATGAAGAATTCGGTAGACCACGTTCTATGCTTAAAATCAGTCTTATATTATAACAGTGCTATTATAATGTAAATTGAACAAGTGAAGAATCAATAAATCAATAGTTGGAAAAATAACGACATTAAATATGAAATCGTTGATTGTAAAACAGTCAATGGCACTTTCATACTCTTATCGATTGAACCGTGAACTCCACATTCATTCATTTTTAGTATTAAGCCGTATGTGATTCAGGTCAAAGAGATGTTTATTTTTGCAAAGTCACATTATTTGGAGTGGTTGGCCTGATTGGTGATGAATGGACCTCTGTGACGTATTAATAGTAGATGTACGATACTGCGACATTGAAGTGGCAGTGGGCAGGACACATTGCTCGTAGAACGGATGGCCGTTGGGGCCAGAAAGCTCTTGAGTGGCGACCGCGTATCGGAAGACGTAGCGTGGGTAGGTCTCCCATAAGATGGACCGACGATCTATTGAGGTTCGCGGGATCCGCTGGATGCAGGCGCAGGACCGGTCTTTGTGGCGAGGCTTGGGCGAGGCCTATGTCCAGCAGTGGACGTCTGTGGGCTGATAAAAAGTACGATTTCATTATTGCAGTCAATGTATAACGCCAACAAAAAATCGTAGACTATTCTTGATGTGAACCTCATGATTCTCGTCGCCTCATCGACATCGTCGTCGACTTTTATCGCAGGGTCAAGCGTTTGTTAATTAGAGCGGTTAATAAGTGATCGCGTGCAGCTCGTTGAGGCTCACGTGATGTAAATTGAATAGATTTTATTTGCAATGTCTAGTTTAGTCATTTTACGGTGCTCTAAGACTGCGATATTACTCAGTGAACCCAAAATTATAGATTCCTATAAATACGTTAATTGAAGAAAGTTTTACTTTTTTTTGCAACTATTCAGTACCTAGCTCAAGTATCTGGAGGTTTCGGGTTGAAGGGTGAACGAATAGGCGTCATTCCAATACAAATAAGACTAAAGTATCTTTGGTAATTATTGAACATCAGGTGAGGTGGGAACTGAATTAGTCTCGTTCCTCCCATCTACGCTAAAAAAACTGATAATGTCAATGCTCATAGCTTCGCAACTGTAAGTACTCGTTAATACATTCCATGCTCTATACATACAGGGCTTTCTTTGGTATTAAAATTATTAACTTGTCCTCATATACCTCCGGTGATAACTGGAATGATCGGGCGATGTAATATGCGTGTCCTACTTACTGCTACAGATCAAACCTGAAATCCTTTTATCTCGCTTCAAAAAAGAAAGAGGTTCTCAATTCGTCTGTTTTTTTTTATTTGTATATATTACCTGAACACTTTTTTCTCTGTGAACCAATGTGGTTGCTTTTTTCTTTTATTTCAATGCTGGTGCTTCTCATCTGGTCGCATTAAGGTTTTGACCATGACTTTATAAGTTTGTGTCCTTATTAAAGCATATTTAATTGACTTCGACTACAATGATGATTTTCTCATTTTATTATGTTGAAGTCGGAATTCGTTTTTGTTAAAATTTTGTATTTTATTTAGCTGCACGATCTTCAGCGAAACGGCGTGACTAAGCTAAAATTTCTTTAGCTTGAAATGTTTAGTTATGCTACGAATTACCCAACATTGTTTTCAGCAATGCAGAAGTCTTGCAAACCAGCGATGCTTGGCCGCATGTGGCAAGCCAGTAGCCGAGCTCTTAGCTTGGATCATTGGCCTCCTCACCGCTTTGGCTGTTGCCAGTGGCAGAAGAGGCAACAACCTTCCAAATACTATATTCTGTACAGGTAATTAATAAGCATTTAAAATAAAATAAATAGAATATGATATTATGGTAGACTGATCGTTGGTAGCAAAATGAAAATAATATACCATGATTTACCATTAGCAGTTAGCTATCTGTCAATTAGGCTTCTATACGTCTGTGTATCCAATGAAGAAGGTCAGAGATCACGGAGCGCCTTATTGTGAATTAAGGATTAAAGGCACGTTTTAGGCATATACGAGACTCGGGATCACAAGTTTATGTTCTACAATCAAAATTGACTAAATCAAAGCAAACTCTTAAATCGAGTTATAGCATGTTATACTTGCCGCGGTAGAACAATGATTCGAATATTACTTTTTGGATCTTTTATATATGTATATGTAAAAAAAAAAAATTGAAACGAATGCCAACATGAGAGGGATCAAGCTAATGCTTACGGAAACGGTAGCTCCACTTTTCGATGATGTGTACCGCCTTAACAGAAGATACACTTAAATTAACACTTTAATTTTCAGGTGGATAGTATTTATTGCGGTATTGGCCATTAACATTGCGAGTTTTGCTTGTCAGCGCATCCCAGTGAAGTATCACGGACTGAAATTGGAACTAAATTACTTTAAATGGTTCATTTACCTCACTAATTGGGGATTTATGCTGATAGCTGTTCAAGCAGCTCTCGCACTTGGCGTCGTGTACTACTATAAAAACGACAGGAATCTTAATCTAAGTAAGTAACTAAAGATACTAGTTCATATAAACGGGAATTTCTAAGCGAATGATTACTTTTTACGATTACAAAACGATTACTTGTTAAACAATATCCCCGCTGTTATCAAAACCTATATATGTCAGAGCGTAAATCAATCCAACGCTCATCTATTGAAATAGTATTGGTAATTAGCGTTGAATGGGGACACCCCGTCCACCTTTATGTCTTCGACTTGAATAGAATTCTGACAGCAAACCGTATGGGGTCTTACAATGTATACTAACTACCATTAGGAAAGTTAATGACAACTTCGTATTTTCTTCGGTCTTCGCAATTTGTAGACATGATTAAAACTACTTAAACGGTTTTATCTCGAGTTTTTTATTGTCATTATACGACCACGGACTACTTTGTCACTACGAAATCTGTAAAGTATTGCAAACTCTTCTTTTTCTCCACCTTGTCCCACTGGTTGGGGTCGGCACAGCTAATTTTTCTCTTCCATTCTCTTCTATCAGCCGTCATCTCAACACTCACTCCTCTCTCTCTCATATCGTCATTCATACACTCCATCCATGTCTTTTTCGGTCGACCTCTTCCCCCTCTACCTTGCACTACCATTTCCATACATCTCCTAGTCACATGCATCTTCTCTCTACGCATCACATGTCCATACCACGCTAACCGTCCGCTCTTTAATTTGTTGATTACCGGCTTATTTTCCGTACGTCAAATAATATACTGATAATAAAAATACAAGATTTAAACGTAAAAGTCGTTATTGCTTAGATGTGTGGACGAGCTCACAGCCCACCTGGTGTTAAGTGGTTACTGGAGCTCATGGACATCTACAACGTAAATGCGCCACCCACCTTGAGATACAAGTTCTAAGATCTCAGTATAGTTACTCAGTAAATTGATAGAACTCGTCTTAGAATTGACCAATGTCAAGATCCTCGCGTGGGTGTCTCTCACATAAAACATCCCATGTGCGGCCCAATTTCTTAAGCGACTCAATTAAACCGAATGATTCGATCGCGTGCTGTCATCAACATTAGCGGCGATTCCTGTAAGTCAACGGAACACGTGCCTTATCCCGTTAATTTTGTGTCCATTTTTAATATTCCATTAAACAGTCAACTATTTTCACGACCGTCAGCTTTTTTTTTTATTGCTTAGTTGGGTGGACGAGCTCACAGCCCACCTGGTGTTAAATGGTTACTGGAGCCCATAGACATCCACAACGTAAATGCGCCACCCACCTTGAGATATAAGTTCTAAGGTCTCAAGTATAGTTACAACGGCTGCCCCACCCTTCAAACCGAAACGCATTACTCATTCACGGCAGAAATAGGCAGGGCGGTGGTACCCATCCGCGCGGACTCACAAGAGTTCCTACCACCAGTACCAGCTTTGATAAAAACAGAGATAATTAAGCCGTGCGTTTTACAAATTCGGGTATTTGAAACCAACATAAATATCTAACAGCCCATTTTCGGTATTCAATTTATCGACAGAGCGCGCTCGGGTCATGAACGGTTGATTGGGTACAATTTTGCGTCAATTAAGACCCCAGTCGAGCGCGGTACTACTGTACATTGTGCTCGAATTATCCTTATTGGTTCCTCATTCTTACTTTGACACTGTTAACTCATCGTTGTAAACTAGTATACAAAAGCTGTCATTGACATCGCCTTTTAGTCAATTGATGTAGAAATAGTATAATTTTCGTATTTTGTATTTAAGACTAGCGACACGCCCTCGCTTCGCTTCGAAAACATTAAATGTTATTATTGATAGCTGAGTCCCGCGATTTTATTATCGTACCGCGGGTGACGCCACGGGGCGAAGCTAGTAAAAAAAAAACGTTACTCCTTATATCATCAGGTACCTATCAGTGTAAGTCTCGTTAAAATCGGTCCAGCTGTTCCAGAGATTAGCCGGAACATACAGACAGACATCCATACAAAAATTGTAAAAAATATTATTTTGGTGTACGTACCGATATATTCATATGCATGTTGTGAAAAGCGGTTATTTCAACATTACAAACAGACACTCCAATTTTATATACATGTATAGATAATTGTTTGTTTAGGACTAATAATTTTTGTAACCTTTTTTTCTCTTAGCTTACGATGAAGATGATGTTCCTGTACCGATGTCTCGTCGTAAACGTACCCCAATTTTATGCCGCGTGTATTGGCTCACACAAAACGTCGCTACAGACCTCGCCTTCGTCATCTCTCTTGTTTACTGGGCCCTAGTGTATGACCCTGGTTAGTGCAAACAGTCTTAATCGTAAATATGTATTTTGCGGGATAAACCGATACTTGAATATTTTTCTAGACTTTGGTAATAATATTTTATATATTTTTTGTGGTAAATTACGATATATATTTTTTTATTTTTAAAAAAATCTACAAGTCAAGCTTCAAATATGAGGCTATAAAAAAATGATATTGCAAAATCTAAAATTTATACATATTTGTAAAGAGAGAGAAAGAGAGAGAGAGAATGAGAGAGAGAATATACTTTATTGCACACTAAAACGCAATTGACATTAAAATATAATCAAACAATATAACGTTAACATTTGTTTTTTCTTTAGAAATCCATGAAATAAATGCAATAAATCTTCTTGTTCATGGTGGAAATTCCGCGATCATGTTGTGTGAGCTGGCTGTCACAGCACACCCCATTAGGATGGCTCNGTACCACGAACACAGAAACAACAAAAGGAAACAAAACAAATAAAAACTTCCAGAAAGAGCACTTAGTCGGCAGATGTACCACAAACACAGGCCGCGCGAACAATGGCCGGGCTAACAAAAGCCGGGCGAACAAAGACCGGGCGATCGAGTGGACGATGAGCACGTCCGCACGTGACGGGTGCCTCTATCGGAATGACTCCACTACTACAGACAACACTATTCATACAGTACTCTGTAGTATATACAAAATACGCGGCTAAAAAAAACTAGTTTGACTAATTCGACAGAGTAAAAAGCTTTTGGAGCTTCTCGATCATTCATATCTGCAATACAATACAATGCAATACATACATCAAAAATAGATAACACAAGTATAAATTTAAAAATTAGTAAAAAATTAATTATCAACGATATTCCTTCAAGTTTCCTATTTGTAACCATTGAAAACTCCGGCCCGTGCGGAGAAGATGCCCGGCTTATTTATGTGGAATCAGGCTGCTGGAGGGCTTCAAAGCACCATGCTGGGGCTGGAAGCATGCAAGCAGCTAGCAAATTTTCTAAGCAATTATGTAAAATATATAGCACGTTTATCATACCCGATATTGTGAACCGAATGGTAAACAGTCGACGTCGACCTAAACACGTCATTGCGAATCCTCCCGATCCATTTACGGTGCTTTTAGGTTCCTCAAGCACCGGTCACCGTCTTCGTCGAACCCGTCGCTTGCGACGAAGGGCTCGGTGAGTAAATTAACCCATAGACAGCCCACTGAGTTTCTCGCCGGATCTTCTCAGTGGGACGCGTAGATTCTGCGAAGCACTGCACTTGCAAGGGCCAGTGTTAGCAACACCTCCGGTTTGAGTCCCGAGAGCTCACCTACACGCTAGAGTAACGGTTATATAGCCTCTCAAGGCTACCAACATAGGTAGGAAAAAAAAACACTTTTACATGAACGACTTCCATGCATAACATTTTATACATAACAAATTAAACATGACAACACTTTTTGTAATTAATGGTGGCAGGACGTATTGTACGCACATTCTACCTAATTCTGCTGTGAGGGAATCATGCGTTACAATTATAAGTAATTCAGTAAAAACTCAATTATAGTTTTTTTTTACGTGTATGAAGGCACAGCGTTTTCAATCAGAGGCGTACTAACATTTACTATTTTTCTACAGCCGCTGCATTTGGCTTCGTCGCTCTGTGTGCTGTGGTGCTGGTGATGGCTCACGGCGTCGCGACCTGCCTAGCCGTAGTCCGTTTGCGTCTCGCCAAGCGCCTGTACGCAAAACGCGCGCAATCCGACAGACTCACCCTACCGACACATTGATATAGTGTCGTGTGGCGTCTAGCTCCTAGACTCCAACGCAAAGTTAATTCAAAGTATTGCTAAACGGACATTAACTATCCAATTTCCGTCAGTGATTTATTAATTAGGTAAGAGTAGGATTTTGGGTACGTAATGTTGTTGCATTTATATTTTATGGGACAGAAATGCATAGAATAGTCATAGTATAATACATTATCAATTGAAAATCAAGGCGATTTGTACCTTGAATGCATTTTACAATAGACGAAACAAATTTGAATTAAAATAACTATGTCGGAAAATCATTTGAATCGAAAAACGATGTGGTTATGATTACATAAAATGTTCCTTTCATGCCTCGAAAAAACACTTGTCTTATTCTTTATGCCTACAAAGACAGATGAGGAGCTAACGGTCAACTTTGGTGACGAGTGGTCACGGTCGCTCGTGGACAGCAGCAAAAGCACAGCAGAAGTTTCCTAACCTCATTTGGACAAGAAACACAGGGTCGTTCATTCCAGTTACATGTCAAAAAAAATCTCTGGAAACGCACTGTGAATGATTCAACAGTTGTAGGTATATCGACGATACATGTGACTACTGAATAGTAACTCTTTAAGACTTAAAAGTTTCAGAATAACTTATTAGGTCGGACATAGGAAATGATCAGTATTGTAACAATTCTATGTATAAAATAAATTACTGGCACCTTTGGAATGTATTGTGATGGTTTTGATATCTCATGGAAAAAGTTCCTGTATGTTTTTTTTTTTAAATTTAATTTATACGAATGACATTTGTTGTTCTTTCTTTGATATGTTAATTATATAATTTTATGAATTCCATATTTAAATATGAAAACTTTTTTGTTCATTTTTCTATTATCGCTGTACTGGTTTACGCATACATTTGCAGCTATAAGAAAACAGAATATCATATTGTTTTATTGCTATATTTTAATACTTAGTACATAATCTACCACGGGTTCTGTATACTTCTAGTTTAACTAATAAAAATTATCCATTTAATCAAATCATAACTTTACTGAATACAAGAAACAGCAGGCATTGGATTTAAATTTTTTATTTACACAACTGTAATATTTATTTCTGTATGTTGTATTTATACTAAGAATAACTTTGATCTTATAATAATAAATTAGACTTTAATAAATTATATTCTAGCGATGTTAACATAAAGCACAGCATAAATATTGCTTAAGATGCACAGAACATTGATCACGTAAAGTATTAGCCGATATAATTATATTGTTAATTTCATTAGTAAATAAATAAGAAGTCGTCGTGGTCTAAAGGATAAGACGTCCGGTGCATTCGTATGTAGCGATGTAACGGTGTTCGAATCCGGCAGGCGGGTACCAATTTTTCTAATGAAATATGTACTTAACAAATGGTCACGATCGGCTTCCACGGTGAAGGAATAACATCGTGTAATAAAAATCAAACCCGCAAAATTATAATTTGTGTAATTACTGGTGTTAGGACCTCATGTGAGTCCGCACGGGTAGGTACCACCACCCCGCCTATTTCCGCCGTGAAGCAGTAATGCGTTTCGGCTTGAAGGGTGGGGCAGCCATTGTAACTTATAGTTGAGACCTTAGAACTTATATCTCAAGATGGGTGGCGCATGTAAATGTGTATGGGCTCCAGTAACCACTTAACACCAGGTGGGCTGTGAGCTTGTCCAATCATCTAACCAATAAAAAAAATAAAAATAAAATCGACTTCACTGTTAGCGCTCTCACTAGAAGCGAAACATAAAATGTTTTTTTGCATATTTTGCAATTTTGTGTTTTTCATTTAAAATTAACTAAAAATATGCATTTACTGAAACTATTTCAATTCTTTCTTCCGTGACTTATCAGTGTATCGTTTTGGTGATATTTGTCATAAACAAATTTCTTATGAATAACAGATTATCGTATTTTTATGATTCAAAAGTATTTTTATGTAATGTATTATATTAAATTGCAATATTGTAAACAATACGTGATTTATCATAGAATTAAGTGTCTCGTATTGTGATGATATGTATGTATGTAATTGATAATAATTGTATTCCTTTAAACGCAATGAGCTTAGCTTAATATCGCGAGCGATAGCATAAAACATAAGATTTAATATCTTGTGAAACTTTAAGGTTTTTGAAGACGTAATTTACGAAAATATATTAAAGAGATATACAACCAAATAATTAAATTTTCCATATAAACTTTCTTATTAGAATGTTAAAATATGTAAACCGCTTCTTTATTAATAAAATCGCGGTGTATGTGCAGTAATGGAAAAAAAAATTGTGTACTTCTTATGGATGTTTCTATCACAAACTAAAGTATCGATAGAATCTCAAGATCATTCAAATTGAGGCAAGTTCCTAATAATATATTTTACGATAAGTTTGTAAGTAATTGTGTTTGATTAAGTAAAATGATTAATGTCTACACTAAAACTACAGTATTGTGTCATAATTAAATGGATTTTACGTTAGATATCTTTCGTTTTTTCAGTTAAATTTGCTTAACCCAATACATATATGTATATGTATATAACAGGATTAAAAACATCTCACTTTCCAATAACAGTTCATCAAAATCCAAATACACCAAAAAAAGCAATAAAACTAATAAAAAATAGAACATCTTACAAATTAAACAGAATTAAATCGACAGAGCTTCTGCACCCAAAACCTTAGAAAGTTTAATAAGAACGAGCTTTTTATTGAGATGGAAAACAGAAAAAATGTTAAACGATATTATAAAATACCAATGCTTTTTGAGTATTGTTTCGATAATCGATTTTTTAGAACATATCAATTTTTTACAACATATCCTAATAATTTTATTCTATTAACTATCCTGCGTATCAATCTATATTTTTAATTTTTTTATTGCTTAGATGTGTGGACGAGGTCATAGCCCTCCTGGTGTTAAGTGGTTACTGGAGCCCATAGACATCTGCGACGTAAATGCGACACCCACCTTGAGCTATAAGTTCTAAAGTCTCAGTATAGTTACAGCAATATAGTATAGTATTTAGCAAACTATAGGCATAATAACAGGTATACACCCCCTGTATTATCCCCATGCCCCGTTCAGCTCTTCCTGACGAATGGGTTCAGTAACCATGGCAACCGTCGTCAAGAAAGACCACAACAACGAAGGCTTTTGTAAGTAAAGAAGGAGTAGAAGAAGAGTTTATAAGAGAACGGTTTATGTAAGTAAGAAGTAAGAAAAGTAAAGAAGGACACTCCAGTGCGAATTCAGACGGGTTATCACGAAGGGTAGTGGACAAATAGTAGACAGATAATCCCCATTAAAGGGCTAGGCAGAGAGTTTTAGTGAAATATTTCTTAGCCTTAAAATCTTCTTACCTTAGACATTTTTTTAAACGAGTATTAAATAACAGAAAATAAATAATAAGCTTATAATAAAACTAAACACGCACCAAAACGAACCGCCTTCACCTTGAACGAGGTTGCGGTGAGGTTAATCGCACGCACTGATAGGTCCTACATACAAACAATGTATACACATTATTACGTATTCAAAGAAAATTTAAAATATATTTTTATTATGATATCAGGACATGAGCTATTGATATATATAAGACATATAGTTGTACCTAAAAGTACAACCAGATAAAAATAGGCAGTACAGAAACAGTAGTACTCGAGACTATTACAATTAAACGATTTAGTGGGCTAATATTGATTTACATTTGATATAAAGATCATTACTGTTTAGATTATCTGGATTTTACTTTTAGTTATGTAACAACTTCTCTTCGTCAAATCTATCAGTATACGATAATATACAATATTGGTGAAAAGAAAAATCAGGCGCTATTTCAAGTCCGTTTTGGTGGACGTAACCTCACTGTACAGTCGTCAGCGCATGTGCAGTATCCAGTGTTTGGGATAACGCGCTAGAAACCGAACTAGTCGCGACAAACTCGCGCGCTAATACACTCGCATGCACGATGAAAATATTTTAAAACGTGAATTGTAAAATTACGAGATAAATATTAAATTTAAAAAAATAATTGAAAATCAAATGGCTAAAGGTAAGACTGTTGAAAAGTTTTAGGGAGTTTTTTTTTTATTTCATTTAAAACAAGTGAGTTAATTAAGATACAAAGGTCTTATGAACAATGCTAGTTTTTTTTTTAATTAGTCCCTAATTACCTTGGTACTTTTTATGTTTTATTGTTTAATATATTATTATAGCTGATCGTGAACTAATGTTATTTTCCAATAACTTTCAATTAATATATAAAGTAACAAATTTCTAATTACTATTTATTATATTATTATTTATTTTTGTTAATCGATCCCTGTCTTATAATATAAAAACTCGCATTGTTATAATACTAATAAAATTAATTTCATTGAAATTCTTGTCTTATTACTCAATCAGTAAAGACGCGAGTAATTTCAGTCGAACGCATTATAATAATATGTACAATTTCTTTGTTTGAATTACAATCGGCAGATTTTCAAACATAACTTTATTATAATTTAAATTGTACGCACTTAAACTTCTTATTCATATAAAACATATTTTTTCCAAGTTTATTAATTAAGTAGATTAAATATATTGTTATTAACCTTATAATGATAATATTGTGTTCTGAACGTGCTTTTGTTCGTTTGCCGATCAATGTTGATAAGTAAGTAACTCTGAGCGTAAAACTTGTAGGAGGAAAACTCTCCAATACGAAAGATCGTTTTAAAAAAATCTGCTAAAAATATTACAATTTGCGTATATACTAGTCATAGAGTATATATTTTATTATAATGTAGCTTGCACGCGTAGATACCACCATCCAGCCTATTTCTGCCGCACAGCACCTATGCATTCCCATTAAATTGTTACACGTGTAAATGTACAAGCTCCTGATACTCCTTTTTCCAAAAGTATTGTTAATAAAATGTTTTGTATCTCAAGAATGTGGACAAGATAGGATCATAATAACAAATTACATTATTATTTTTGCAACGTTTCGGTCTTTTATTAGACCTTCATCAGGCATCATAATATAGGGCTTTATTTCTAAAATCAAAAATAATAATTAACTAATTTATCGGCTTTGTTGATATGTATTAATTTATGATGTCTAAGACAACTGTGCAGTGTAAGATAGTGATTGTTGAAATTCATATTATGATGCCTGATGAAGGTCTAATAAAAGACCGAAACGTTGCAAAAATGATAATGTAATTTGTTATTATGATCCTATCTTGTCCACATTCCTGAGATACAAAATATTTTATTAATAATTATGGACGATAATATTGATAATAGTATTGTTAATCGTCGTTAACAACATATAAAATTCAGGACCTTTTTTTCGCTTTATTCTTTCAACTATAAAAATTAAATACAGTTGTTTCATCATAATTATAGGAACAGCTGATACAATACGCGATAACATCGGAAATTAAGCAACATTAAGCCAAATCATATCCTTAATTTTATTACAAATCGCTCATTTGCAGCACAACTCATATATCAGGTCGGGATATTAAGAATACACATACATACCTCGTTTTCTATACCCTTGAACTCATTAATACTAATTATAGGCACAACTACCGTTCGATGTAAAGGGGTAATATCTATTACGTAAAATACACCTGATAAAATTTGACTCGTGGTTTAAATATTCGAATTGTTAACTTATAGAGTGGAAACAAAAAAATCATGAAAACTAAGTCAGATATTTTCTAGACATTTTAAAATCGAAAGGAAATATTAACTGATTAAAACTACGAGTATTAATGGTTTTTTTCGCAAACGAATAATGATTTCTTTTTACGATGTACTTTTACGATGTAGGCTTTTTGATCAATAAGCAACTACTTAAAGAGTTAACGTTTGTATTCTTCTAAATTTGTTTCACGAGTTGTCATAGCTGTTTAAATAGGTTGCTGGTGATGAATTAGCGATTTTAAATAGCAATATTTTAAAATTCAGTCGTAAATTAGGCGTCTGCGTGATCGACAAAAACCTAGAACAAATATAAGTTTTTTTTTAAATGTTGACTAGTCACTTATTACATCATAATATATAGGGTACAAAACATTTGGATAGAAGTCACGTTCTTATATAAAATAAAATAAAAAGCCTTTACATTTCTTGCAATCAATAATAGCAATTTTTACAATACATAAGTTTATATATAATATATATATTTTTACTTATTTGCAATAACCTCTCCTCGGGCTAAGGCCTCTTTCAACAAAAACTAATGTTCTCTATTCTGAAGTACCTGTATCCAGTTTCGGGTCGTTGTCCTTGTGATATAATCCTGCCATCTTGTGTGAGGTATATCTCTGTTTCGTTTTGCCCCTGAACTTAAACGGTCCTATAAAGAAATTTAGAAATAAAGTAAAAAATGAATACCTAAATAACCACCAGCATTTTTAGAACGCAATATAATTTAAAATTTGCAAAATTAATCGACTTAAAATGTCTTGTTTTTATAATTGAACAGAAAATAAACTTCAAATAATTAAATCGGTCTGTTTATTCATATGCGAAGTGGAGATTACGTTTATCTTTCAATTACTAATGTTGACAGACAATATTAGTTAGTAGATCGTAATAATTATTTTAAAAAGTGTTAATAATACTACAATTTTGAAGAAAATTCCAAAATATTATCAATTCATTCGTTCGCGAAGACACGCAGACTCTGGACCTCCAAGAGAATAATGGCAACGATTACCTTAAGATAAAGGTCGAATTCTGAATTGAATTGAAATTACCATTAGTTTATCATTCGTGCCATGCCTAATTAACGATGATATCAACAACACGTCCGACCGGTTATAAATATTATTAAATGCTATCATTACAAGCCAGACATTGTACTGTTAATATGGCTTCTAAGTACATCATACAATTATTTTACTTAACAAACGATTATTGCTGTATTTTAATTGCAGTCAGAGCAGATAAATAGTCGCTATCGCTCATGGACATCAGCAATAGCAGGGCCACAGCTAAGCCTCTGGTTAGTTGAGGGAACTTTCCTCACCTTTGCTTTGAAGAAGGACATGTCATAGCGCTAGGGAATGCTTGCGGAAGGGAGTTAATTCCAAATCAGGAAGGTATGTGGCAAAAAAGATTTCTCAACAGGCGCTAAGGACGGAAGCCTAGTACGTTCAACATAGTTTTGACGGGATCAGCGGTGGCGGGCGTTGTGTTGATACAAAAAATACAAAGGTATAATCTCGAATAATTCCTCAGAGCGCTCCCTACGGTATGTGTCGCCTACAAAACACACGGGGAACCGAAGTCTCTCCGTAGACCCAGGGCTCCAAACTTTTTGCTTTGTTACTCATATCAAAATAAAAGTGAGGAAAGAAAAAATCGGGAACCTACTTTCACTAAAACTAAACATAATATAATATTATAATTACATTAAAATAACAATTTGATATCAAACGTCCAAGTTCAAGTTGTATTTTACTCACACCAACATGTTGTGTTTTGGATACAAATGGCTAAAACATTTCTTTTCAATAGCATTATTAATAAATTTCTGGACTTCAATTAAAATATTAGTAATCAACTTAAATATATACGCTGATTACCGGAGACAAGATCTTTTTGCTCAAATATTTTACGGGGAATATTTGATACAAAAGCGTTACCTTCGATTATAGTCTTCATTTGTTTACGCGATGATAAAAACTTGCCATAAACAAGATGATAATTAGGAAGTCACGAAACGACCTTTGATCAAATTTTATATCCAAGAAACTCGTAATGTTTGTTTACACTAACCAAGAATATTTTTCTCTTTTATTCACATGTACTCAAACTTGTCTTATTCAAAATAAAACTTAATCAATTATGTCGCACAATTGGTGTCACTGGTGTTAATTGGGAATGATTTATCGATTCATGAAATCGATCAGATGGGTGATGATAATTTTCAAGGGGCATTAACCATTATCGCTTAATTGTCCAAAATATTAGTTCACTTCGAAAATAAAAACTACAGATCTAGTGGCTTTATATATTTCAGACTGTCTGTATACATTCTTAAATTACCAGATTTCCGGAAAGAGACAATTTTTGCAATTCTTTTCGATTCGATTCACTTCGATTCGATTCGTATTCCCTTTATCTACTAGCACTCAATAATGAGTGAACGAATTCACCGTCTGCTTATTTTTTCTTCTTCTTGCTTCGGTTTCCTCAATACTGAGGGTCGTGACCACCTCCTCGCAACAAGAGTTTATTACGGACCATTCCACCCCATTTGCCTCTATCTGCCGCCGAGTGTAGAGCATCGTGAACTGGAGTGTCGAGGGTAGTGCGGATCTGGTCAGTCCAACGTGTCGGGCCTCTACCTCGTGGTCTTGTTCCGTTCACCTTGCCAGTTGATTGACATGATTGACATTGACATGATTGTAGGCAGCGGCTTGGCTCTGCTCCTGGCATTGCTGAAGTCCATGGGCGACGCCAACCACTTACCATCAGGTGGGCCGTACGCTCGTCTGCTTACGAAGGCAATAAAAAAAAATGACAATGACATATTTTTCGTCTGCTTATAGAACATAAAAATATTAGTATGTACATACATGTTTGTAGTAGTAGGTATAGAAATAATTCCAATTTTCGTTCTCAATTTGGCTGATGGCGATAGATAGACAAGGCAGATCCTCATGTTCCCTCACTCAATGTTCAAAATTAACGTTTGACCTGATTCCGGCGAGTCGTTGTGGCGCCTCGGACATTGATCTCAATATTTACAGGACATCTTATCTTGGTACAGTATAACAAACCTTATAGACCTGTCCTTCAATACGAAATATGCCTAAAATTATTATAGTGTAATAAAATGAATAAATTGACTGATTCATTTCTTTTAATTTAAAGCAACCTTAACATAAAAAATACAAAGCAAGTCGATTAGGTTTATGAGATGGAAACACGCAATTTTTTAACTTATTTATGTTGTCAATTTATTATTTCATAGTCTTAGATAGATAAAGATAATTAAGCGATAAATAACCTATAAAGCTATTCGCGGAGCCTACTAGATTTGCCATGCTAACTGCCAACTTTAAATATGGCCTGCACCTTTATCAGTACATAAATATTGCCAACCGTGAAAACTTATTGCGACACACAGATGTCATTGTTGTTCAGAAAATATGATAAGAGTGACACCTACCTGGTTTCGACTCTGCTATATCTTGAATGACACTCAGAGCTCATTGTTGAAAGCGCTTTAGAATTAACCTAACGATTAATATCTACAATACTACACGAGCGCAAGCTAGTTACCTAGTACGGATGAATCCGCCTTGAAATGTATTGATAAATTCAAACTATGCTGTATATCATTAAAGTTAAACAGAAAAATGCCTTATTAATAATCAACGTCCATGATAAACAGATGTTTGTTATGCATTTTTTTTTAAATCTAGGACATACAACTGACTTCGAAGGTCACAGAGATTCGCTAACGAACATTCACGGTCACAGTCACACATATTTTGCAATACCGTTTAAAATGTGCAAAAGAAACGTACAGATATTTAAATATATAATTAATTTAATTTTATAATTTTATCCACAGACTATGCAACAGTTGATATGCTATTAACAACTACTTCGTGTTGATTGTAATACTACAACTCCTTCAAGATGAAATACACATGGAAACACGGATTGTACTGCATCTCGGCATTTCTGGGATCGGAAGATGAATCCGTCGAGATCTTTACGAAATCCAGCTTGGGAAGCATTTCCCCTTTGTTATGGAGGATACCAATATTTTTGTGGGCAACCATCTCACTTTTCATGTCAATGAATTATTTCTGGGGGCCAACGAAACTATTCTTTGTGTATATGACACATTGGGGTCTGTTATTCATCGTCCTGGAATCTATGTTCGGTGTCATCGTAGTACTAAGGAAACGCGGAAGACCAGGTATGTTTGAGTTATATACAATACGTCTCTTTTGAACCTTTGTTACGTAATAGGTTTATTCTGTACGACCTCCAAACACCATATACATATAATCAATAAAGATACTGGTCGTTTAACATCCTTTGAGGCCGGACGGATAGGTATCTGTAACATGTATCTCTCTCTCTCTCCCTCTCTCTCTCTATCCTGCTTATTACTGCCGCGAAGCAGTAACGTGTTCCGATTTGTGAAGCAGCCCCTATATAATACAATTAGGATCAATATGAGTGGCTAGATTTACGTCGTCCACTCTTCCAAGGTATAGAAAAAAATTGTAAGGTGAGTTTCTTCTTTAGATCGACAAGCTCACACGATTTTAAGTGGCCACGGAAACCCATAAGTGTTGTGACACCAATCGACTTCGCTATGTGATCGCTCATCTACATATATAGAGCGATAAAAAAGGCTTGCTCGATAATAGGTGTAATCTTCCAATGCAACCCAAAGAAACTTCCAAAGACGACAAACGGAAAACTTAAGCTACGCTAATATAAAATTGATCTCAGAAACAGTTCAAAATTATACCTAGATATTCCACATTCAAATCAATTGCAGTTTAACAATCGAAATTTTCAACATATTACAGCGCAATTCGAAAATAATAGGTTGGGGAAAAGTCTTTTCGCATTATAGTATGTATGAACTTGTAATATAATCTCTTTGGCTATACTATTCGTATCTGGCTGGTTATGGTATCATTAAAAGTTTAAATTTTAAAAAAGATAATTCCAAATTCAAATTAGGCAAATGTGTGATTTTTATTTATTTTTCGTACTGTCAAGATGAGTGAATCTAATGAAGAAATTCGATACATTTTAAAATTTTACAACAAAAAAGATAAAAATGCAACGCAAGCCGCGATAAAAATTTGCGATGCTTACGGACCTAGTGCAGTGTCTGTGAGAGTAGCACAAATTTGGTTTAAGCGTTTTCTATTCCGGAAATTTTGATGTCAAAAATGTACGTCGCCCTATTACGGATAAAATGGATGCCATTTTTGAAAAAGTGGAGCAAGATCGGCATATCGGTAGTTACGACATAGCTGAAGAATTGAGAATTGACCACTAAGCAGTTTTGGCGCATTTGAAAAAAACTGGGTACACGAAAAAACTCGATATTTGGGTACCTCACGAGCTCACTGAAAGAAACCTAATGAACCGTGTTCTCATTTGTGATTCTTTATTACGACGTAATGAAACCGAACCATTGAAGAAGCTGATAACTGGTGATGACCATCACAGGACCATCGATTCTGAACTCTACTGCGAACAACTGATGAGATTAAAGCAAGAAATTGAGAGAAAGCGGCCGGAATTAATCAACAGAAAGGGTGTGGTTTTTCATCATGATAATGCTAAAGCTCACACATCTTTAGCCACTCAGCAAAAATTGAGAGAACTTGGCTGGGAGGTGTCAAAGCATCCGCCGTATAGCCTTGACCTTGCACCTTCAGATTTTCACCTGTTTCGGTCTCTTCAGAATTCTTTAGGCAGTGTCAGGTTAACATCACGAGAGGACTACCAAAACCAATTGTCGCGGTATTTTGATCAGAAGCCCCAAAATTTCTATAGCAATTGGATCATGTCCCTACCTACAAGAAGGCAAAAAGTTATCGAACAAAATGGTACATACATACTTTAATTAAATGTAAAGAAATATATTAAAATATTTTGTGAATTTTCTTAAAAAATGCGAAGAAACTTTTTCCTCAACCTATTATTATAGTCTACACAATATTATTCGTAGTAAATACTACAAAATAGTACACCTACACCTCTTCTGTACTGTTGACTGACAGCCAAAACTATTTGTGACTTTCGAACAACTCGCTATTTCACGGCAATACATTGTATGTATGTACGCACCAGATGTTCGCTATATAAACGATCACGTTTTTACGCACACATTACGCAAACAGAGCCGATTCAAATTGATCAGATCATTTTAAAAATCACGTGCGTGCATCTCTTCAAATCGCTGACAAGTGAACCGGTTTAAAGCTTTTGTCGTCTTAACCTGACTTACTTAATCTAATTCCAAAGCCGATTACAATAATTTGGCATTACAATTACGATATAACAAGATTAACAGAACAATGTACAAAAATGTTTGTTATTATGACAGAACGCATTATGTGCTGTGAGAATAATCGAGATTAATGATAATACGTGGAAGGTGTGTGAACTTTTAACCATAAATAATTTGGTGTGCTAACGCGCTATTTCGCAAGATCCATTTGTAGGTCAGACTCCATAAAACCATTGAGAATACGTTAACCAGTCATGTATCTGCATTAGTAAAGTGAATTATCAACCACCGTAACGCTCATTACAATGAAATCTCGGGAAACATGCAAATTTAAACATTAAAGCTAGGACTATTCATTTAACACAATATTGCAATGAACATTTAAATGCAATAATTGTGAATGCTTTTTTTTTTAACACAAATCCAGTCGATCTTACGCTTCAGTGATTACCACCGATTTTCGCAACTCAGTTAGGCAGTAACAATACCGACGATCGGTCACATTGAGTGGTTGAACGCTTCGGTAAAACAAAGGCCAATCGTCAAATATTATATTTACATTTAATCCATTTGTATTGATTCATCGTGCGTTGTTATCTCTAAAATCAGTGAAATTATTTTTTTAAAGCAAATGATGAATGTAAAGTGTGCGAGAAAACATTGTGGCTGGCGGATGTGTGGGTTGGAGCACCCGTCGCCTGTCGAGTTCTACGTGAGCTGTTGGCAAAGCAACCTCTCCTCGCTGCCACTACTCATAGTACGGAGCACCCTTTTCCTGTATGCGACGTGCGTGCTGCTCGCCTCTTTGATAATGTTGCCCTTGACTTTGAACGTGCATATAAAATATTGGTTCATTTATTTCACGCATTGGGGTGTCTTACTAATTGCCGTAACATTGGCCTTTTCTACCACTATATCTGTCTATGCTTACATTGATAAACCAATCGGTATGCATATTTTCTTTATTTATTTTTTGTTGCATTACAAATAGAGTTCAACCTTCACCTAAAATACATAAACAAATAACTTGTAGGTAAAAATGTATTGATAAAATAAATTAAGTACATATATATAATGATATATTAGAACCAATTCTATAGACGGAGACATAAAGTAAATTGTATTGAGTGCACACAAAATAATACTAATAATACTAAGAAAATTATAAGTGAAAATCAGCTGATTAAACAATTATTTTGGGCACAAATTCTACGATTTCGTCACAGTTACCAACTGTTTCTTCGCGTTATATTTGCAGATAAAATATCTATTCAGGGTAGAAGTAGTTTCGTATGTACTTATAGTTAGTCTTTAAATTGAGGGGCGAAAGGCTATTTATCTTATACGTTTAAACGAGGAATTCTTGTATATATATATGTAAAATCTGAATCTCGGAAACGGCTCCAACGATTTTCATAAAATTTATTATACAGGGGATTTCGGGGGCGATAAATCGATCTAGCTACAATTTATTTTCAGAAAATGTTGTTTATGTTTTCAATAATCAACTCTTCCCGACATCTTTTGGTGAATAATAATACAATTTTTCTTAATTGAGGGCAACTAACCGCTTTAAAGACACAACAAGATGGCGTTATCAAAAAAAAAACCGAGCAAAGCTGGGTCATCATCTAGTTTGTTTAAAGCGATACTTAATACATTAATCTTTGTAACTAAAGATGCGTTTTATTTGGTACTAGCGACCCGCCATCGCTTCGCTTCGGAAACATTAAATATCTGTATTGATAGGCGAAGCCCGTCATGTTGCGCGCGATACGACAATAACTGCGGGTGACGCCGCGGGGCAAAGCTAGTCTAAAAAAAGCAGCCTAAGTTACTCCTTATATCATCAGCTATCTATTAGTGGAAGTCTCATCAAAATCGGTTCAGCCGTTCCAGAGATTAGCCGAAACAAACAGACAGACAGACAGACAGACAGATAAAAATTGTAAAAAATGTTATTTTGATGTATGTACCGTATATATATTCATATGCATGTAGTAAAAAGCGGTTATTTCAATACTACAAACAGACACTCTAATTTTATTTATATGTATAGATTAGCATTAACATTTCGGTGTTTTTAATTGAACTTCAATTAAGTTTACTCCGTTGAAATAGCTGAAGATTTTTTTTGTTATGATATTTTTCCAAATTTTAAATGGCTCTTCTGTAAAGTTGCAAAAATGTCGCTTCAACCAAATAGCCTTTCCCCCTTTTTTTCCTACCTAAGCTGATGGTCTAGAGAAACCATATCAGCGTCACCGGGCTAGTAGGTGAGCTCACGGGGCTCAACCTGATGCGTTACTAACACGGACTCTAGCAAGAGCCGTGCTTCGCAGGATCTACCACCGGATCGGAAACGCGACCCACTAAGAAGATCCAGCGGGAAACTCAGTAGACTATTCCCCCTCGAAATAGTTATTTTGTATACTGAATGTTAATAGTTGATTCCAGTTCGACTTCGGATATGGATAATCATATTTATTAAGAACGTAATTACAAACAATAAAATCCAATCATATACTACGTAAACAAGAGAGAAAGGCTATGAATCCGATAACAAAAATTAGTTTTCATAAAACCTCATACCACTAAAAACCTAGACCAAACATTAGGTTGCACTAATATTATCGATCTAAATGTAACATATTTGTTTTTAACTTACTCAAAGGACAATTTCCTACTATAAGTTTTAAAAATTAATAAACCTTTTCGTTCGTGATATTATTTCCTTTTCGGGTAGTATAAATGTTTTACAATAAACCATCGCAGTAAGTCAATCTTTTTGCCAGTGTATGTATGGAGCATTGCAGTTCAAAGTAACAACGCCCACAAAATGAGAAGCACAATACGACTAGGTATTCACTGTATGTCGTCGCCGTATATTTACGTACGACCAAGCAATGACAACAACACTTAGAGAAGATCACGTCTAAGCGTGGTTATCCTTGTTACCTTGTGCCTATTGACACAAACCTTATAAGGGGCTGTGTGACGAGTCTTATCCATTCGCGTTAGTTCTTCATAAATCGGTATTATTCCTAAGAATCTCAAACAAAGCTGTTAAAACGTAATTAAAATCTTTTTATACAAATAAAATCGTCTTAAAAATATATTCAAATGTTAGAAATGTGAATCCTTGAAATATTTTTGCCAATATAACATGAATATTTTTGTAAATGTTACAAATGATGCGCTAGCATACTAGTAATTTAATAAAAATGATACTGAATATGTAATAGTTTTTTAATCATCCTAAATTTGTTCAAATTGCACAGAATTAGATAGATTTACTTAAGAAAAGATCTGTCCGAAAATTCTTGATGAATATACTAGTCGAACACAAAAAGAAACTTAGCAATATTCTTGTTCACGACTAATTAAATCCTAAGTTAATGCTAACATAAACTCGGCCCTTAAAACAAGTTTATTTCCTAATATCTTCTCAGACAGGAGGCGAATACCAAACATTCAACGCTATCAGAAGTTTTTACACAACTAACAAATTATGATTGCTAGTACCTAGCAATGTCGTGTAAGTTAACGCAGTTGCGAAACATCGCTACATTGACGAAAAATGATTTATTGATGGTTCATCAAATAACCAACTACAGTTCGCACTGATCGCATTATACTATTATCTCGTCTCGAAAAGTCAAGGAGACTATTTATTTTTCTAAAGCGCTATTTGTGACACTCACACGCTTCGAGGTTATCGATTATAAATATATGCGCTTTAAAGTACGATTATTCAAAAAATTGCCAAATACTGCCTCTAAGTACCTAAGTTTTACTCATCAAATTCTAAGCGAGGTCAACGTACTAATAGAAGTGCCACTTCACTGCATTAACAAAACACGCACTCGACAAAAATGTATCAAAAGTATAAAGAAAATCGATTAAGTTGAAATGGAAGGATTTAAAATATAGATACGAAACAAAATCTTTGAGTTTTAGCATTTAAATTTTAAAATTAACCTTAATAATAATGCAATTAAATTAAGCATTAAAGTAAAATTAAAGTACCTAATTAAATTAAAATTGGTTAAAATTATAAAATGTAAAACATATTAAAATTCAAGTAGCACACAGAAATTCATTCAAATTCAACACAACAATAGAATTTTCAAAAAGGATATCTTTGTTTTTTTAATTACCAGGAAATTTTGATTTTAATCATCAGTCAAGGAAATTAAATTGCAATGTTAATAATACTCATTATAATTTAATTACTAATATACATCAGGTTTGAGGTCGGGTCCTTTCCCCTCTGTTTCCATTCAGCTCAATTCTAGGCGGTAATTTAGCAAAATCCTTCCAACTTACGCCTGTGCTAACCTTTCAAGAACAATGATGATGTGCTCCAAGAAACATTACTTTTACAAAAATAATATTCTTTTTTTATCAGCAAATCGACTCAAAACCTCTTCATCACTCGTGTTAATTAAAGAAATAAATTAATTTCCAGATGCTACATTTGGCTTGCCTTGGTATGTAAAAACGTACTGGGTCCTCTACAATATTTCAATCCCGGTTGCCTTTCTCATTACTGTGTTCTATTGGGGAATATTAAAATCATGTAAGTACTCATTTAATAAGAATTTAAAAAAATGCAAACCTGGATTATTTTCATTTCTATAGAAAAAAAACACTACACAGTAAAACTTAACAAAATTAGCATACAATATGGATTATTAAATGTATCTAAAACTGAAATTACTGAATAAATGTTATAATACAATAACGATTTTCCCACACCACAATAATAATATAAAACAAAAAAAAAACGTACATAAACATGTACAAAAAAAAAAAAAACATAAATATTATATGTTTGTGTACTTTTTTTTTTTAAATATTATTATCATATTTATAATCGTGATAATAATAATTTATACGTAATATCGGGAAATGTTTTCCAGCATTGGACACAGTGAAGTTCTCACCGAATCCTGTGCTGGACGTAATGATTCACGGCGTCAACTCCGTGGTAATGTTCGTTGAGCTGATGTTCTCGGCGCATCCCAGTAGACTGCTACACATCATGCAACCGCTGTACTTCGCCGGAGCCTACATGTTATTCTCTGTCACTTATTATTTCGCTGGTGGATTAGATCCGTAAGTTTGTGCTATATTTATGCTTAAAGCGCCTATTATATAATGTTACTACCACTCGACTACTTCTTGTCCTTATCCTGCATTTTTTTTTATTGCTAAGATGGATGGACGAGCTCACAGCCCACCTGGTGTTAAGTGGTTACTGGAGCCCATAGACATCTACAACGTAAATGCGCCACCCGCCTTGAGATATAAGTTCTAAGATCTCAGTATAGTTACAACGGCTGCCCTACCCTTCAGACCGAAACGCATTACTACTTCACGGCAGAAATAGGCAGGGCGGTGGTACCTACCCACGCGGACTCACAAAAGGTCTAACCACCAGTAAAATTACATGAGTTCGACGCATCTCCTCTTATCATGCCGCATAGGAATTTGGTGTGAGCTTTGCGAGCATCCGCCTGCCACACGTTAACCCGCTTTGGGTAATATCTCCATTATCAATTGCATCGTGCTGTAGGAAGGGACTTTATTGTTTCTTCTTTTAGCGTGTCTGTTACTTCATAAGTTTATTGTTCTTGATTTGCACTTTAATGATATTAAATAATATTAAACCAAATTTTATATCTCTTTTGAATAAAAAAAATCTCTAGATCCCATCCCGTGATTGCACGTCAGTCACAAATAGAAATTGTAAATGCGAGATTGAGCCTTAACAATCGTTTTATTTATATCGGCGACTCGCGAAACGATGAGAATATTAGACGGTCTCTACTGTTTTATTTTAATAGAAGAATCACTTAATTTTACTCCGCTGCCATAGTCTCAGTATTCATTAGTATATGTTAACCTTGGAAATATATTGCAAACCTACAAAATGCCGACTAAAACTTTAAAGAACACGTTTTATCACCTTACGTACCGTCGGTGCCAAGTGGTGAATTACGAAAGAAACAACAACCTTACGAGGGCCCATCGAAATAAAAATTTACCAATAAGATGTATTTAGAGTACTTAATATTGACTTTTTTCGAGATGTTCAATATAAACACTGATGTCAATGTCAATTCACAAGTTCAACGTCGCGTAATAATTACATATTTGATAAGTAACCGTGCTAAAAACAAACAAACGCATCACAAACGTGATAAAAGTCAAGATCGCACGGGACCGACGCGCTACGGCGCCATGTTGTAACAGAGCCTTTACAAATGAACCTCGTCACTGAGTCGTTCGGTTTTCTTTGTTATTCTCCGTGTTAAGGTCGAAACTATCCGCTCTATCTTTGTTCGAAAGTAAGTCGCAACTAAACAACATTTCTAAGTCACTACTTTGTGCTGCTTACATTCTTTTGAGATAATACATTTTTGAGATAAAATACATATATCTAATACATAATGTATTTCTCTCAAAACTAGCAAGCAGCATAGTGTTTATTGAAAAAAAATCTGTATATTAAACGTAATAATTATTAGTAAGGTCAGTATTAATGATAAGAGGATGGAGTGATGAGGGAGATGACTAACAACTGCCCGAATGCCTAACAGTGTTAGCTTCTCTTCGTTTGCCGCTAGAGGCGCTGTTCCAACTTCATACTAATTTGATTTCACGTTTAAATGATCGAGAAGTAAAAAAAATCGCACTAGGCATATAATACAGCCCAAGGGCTGCTTAGCTGATGCATCCGCTAGCGAATCGGAATAATGACCCGCGTTGAAGATACGCTGACAAACTCAGCAGGTTGCTATTAGGGATGTTATTTAGTCATTACAAAATATTGAAATCAGTCTCTGCAAAATCTTTTTTCACGATTGGAAACCATGAATCGAGAAATCAAGACATAAACGTCACAGCAGCGGGCCATAAGCTTTAATTTAGAAATATTTCATCCTTTTAAGAATATTTTTAACGTAAATATCGTTGATTTAAATTTAAAAATCTCTTTTTTTAATCTTTACTTATTTTTATCTTCTTATGTTTTCTTCATGATTGATCTTCTTATATGTGAACTTACATATAAATGTACTTTAAGTTGCCACAGCAAGAATTTTCGCATATCTAAACATTTTTTCCCTACCTATGCTGATAACCTTGAGAGGCTATTTCAGCTTCTCCTTGACGTGTAACACGACCAACGACCCACTGAGAAAATCCACTGCGAAACTCAGTGGGCTGTGTCTATGTGTTAATTTACTCGTCGAGCCCTTCGTCGCAATCGACAGGTTCAGCGAGGACGGTGACCGGTGCTTGAGGTACTTAAAAGCACCGTTAATGGATCGGGAGGATCCGTAATGACGTATCTTAACTTATTGAACAGACCATCGTATATAAGTGGTGGGACCCTACCTATTCCTGTCGCGAAGAAGTCGTCCGTTCCGGTTTGAAAAATAGTACAGTCGTCATTCCACACAAATTAAACATTGTGATATCTAGCTTATTTCCGAAAGTGGACCTCGGACTCAAAATGCACACCAAATGATCGTGGTACCGCATTAACTATTTTATAAATCAAATATAGAAAGAGAATTTTCAGAATTACAACTGTCGCTTCGCCATTTAAAACATTACAGTTTAAAAATACGACAGTATTTCTTCGGGCACTTAGAATTTCAAACTTACTCAATGTTCAAGGTGATGCATTTGAAAGGATACATAGGCAGTCATTAACTTTTCCAAACCACATGTTATTAGAAGTAGATATTACCAAAGAAAACACGTGGCGATATGACAATAACAGATCTTTTTTCATTTAGAATCAGTAACACCACTATTAAGTTGTCATCTAGTTAATAGACATCTCCATAATTACATTTCACATTCAAATGTCTCTGTCTCACCTGTGAATGCCCGTATTTTTTCTGTACCTATACTAAAATATACACTCGGGCAGGCCTTTTCATAGCTGTTTTCTTCTGTAACCATTGCAAATATATATTTATACATATCTTATATGATATTTATAATACTTAATTATTAAAATGTTATCTACAGAGTGTATATTTATATCAATTCATTAAAGCGAATACAGAAGTTGGCATCACTAAAAAAAGATTCGAAATTTTATGTTATTTAATATATATCGCAATTATAAATGAAATGACTTGAAGAATATATTATAGCTGCACGTAATAATACGCAGAGTCGTGGTACTGCGCAGCTCATAAAATGCCCAACCCCACAATGTACTCAAAGCTCGCCGTTGAGTCAAAAGTACTGCTCCATACCAGCACTCTTAACTCCACTCAGATGGATTTTGTGGAAGCTATAGTTTTAGCAGTTCGGGAAGACTGCTGTCGCACACCAATCTTTTAATAAGGAATAGACGATCTTACTTTTTTTTAAATACTATTCAAACCTTGCGCCATAAGTTCTTCATTTCTGGTCCATAGTCATTTATTTCCCAATTTCTAACTATAATTTAAATTAAAATACATCTTTCTGTTTTCAGCTGGGGGAACAAATTCATCTATCCAGTGATAGACTGGTCAAAGCCAAATCAAACGATGGTAGTAATTACCCTCACGGCTATATTCCTTGCCTTAATGCATCTCATCACCGTGGCAATGGCGGCTGCTCGGGACTCCATTACGAAGCAGTGTAAACCAGATCCAACAGGAGTTTATAATGATGGATTCGAACCCTAATGAATTTTTCCATCATTCACCAACATTTTTCGTTCAGAATTAAGCCTTCATCAAAGAAGAAAAGTGCGAACGTGATGAGTGATGATTGATGAATAAGAAACCTCCGATATGATTGATATCCTTGATCATACTGATAGTACGATCAATAGATATTAATCATTACTGATGGGCTGGTTTTAAAATACATATATTGCAATTGAGGTGCAGTAGAGTGTGTCAGCTACAATATAATGCTAACGCTAAATGCGGCCGCTTTTTTTTCCATACTTATGCTGATAGTCTTGAGAAGGCTATTTCAGCTTCACTCCAATATGTAGGTGAGCTCACGGGGCTGAAACCGGAAATGTTGCTAACACTGACCCTCGCAAGAGCAGTGCTTCGCAGAATCTACCACCGGATCGGAAACGCGACCCACTGAGAAGATCTGGTAAGAAATTCAGTGAGCTAGCGGCCTGCCATAATCTAAAGAAGAACTCTTTTAGCCCATGAAACGCAAAAATAATGTCATTTGATAAAGAGAGACAGAAACTTTAGAATCAGAACAAATTTGAAAGTATTTGAATCTTATAAATTTGACAATAATAATTTTCGACAAACTAATAATATTATATTTATGACATGTAGTATGAACATTTTTATACCCAAACCGTTTGACTACTACGAGTATAGCATGGATAAGGCTTTACTCATGTCGAATAAATCATGTCGCTAAAATAAATATGTCACAAGAGAAACGCTACCACTTAATTAAAATACACCGTTCACTGATTGATGATATCAAATGAATGGTTAATTGTTGAAACTAAAGCTGAAATATAGAATAGATTTTATAACAGACGATAAAAGAAACTTGCTGTTTCTCCAGATTGATTCAAAAGTACCTGAAATCGAATCGGAACTACGAAACTGCCAAAGAAACGACTTAAAGTGAAGTTGATGTGTTGCCTTTTTTAAATAAATTTAACAAAAAATAATTTTCTAACAATGACATTAGAGAAAAATTGTATTGTGACGATACTATTAATTATTACCTATTATTATTAAACGGTATTATTAATTTTTAAGGTTAATTCACTAAATAAAACTGTTAGGAATGTTATTTGTTGTTGTAAATAAAAACGATTTTGTATTCTTTAAGTTAAATCACGACCGTGTTTTATTTCGAGGTTTGAAATACTTAACTGTTATCGTAGTCACGTTGGATGGAAATCGCAATATTTTTTGCGAAACTTACGAAAGGTAACTTTGACGTTGCATTGGTCCTCACGGCTCACTTGGTGTTAAGTGGTTATCATATCACAACGAGAATTCCGCCACCCACCTTGAGATCTATTTCTCAATCATTTAGTAATTACGGATACATTAGAATTTTTGATGATTTTGATGTTATAATGAAACTACTGGACCTGTCGATAACGGAAAAATACTCTTCGCGTTGTGTAAATTTGAATTCAGAAAGTTTTAAACATATCATGTATGTTGTTTGTACCGATTGTAATATTAAGCAATTACGAATAAACGAAGAGCGAACATACATGAGTGACGAGTCTGGGAGTCATATAATAGGCCATATGAGATCATTGAATAAATAACTGCGGCGCATATGAACTTAATCAAGAAAATCAAATAAATAAAAGGTAATAAAATATCTAATATAGTATATTAGAGATTCGATATATAGACAGTATAATAATACTTAGTCTGGCCATAAATACTATTACAATTAAAAATAAACAAAATATTACATTTGAATTTGGAATCTGTCATTTTTATATGATTGCTCATTGAGTTTTCTCATTTTGGCGCCAATACATTGTACAATATTTTGCGATATTAAAATGGGTGATAAAGAAAACCGAATCGCTGTGATTGCATTACACAAAGTAGGTATGGAGCCAAATGCAATTTTTAAAACTCTCCATACGCTTGGTATTAGTAAAATGTTTGTGTACCGGGCTATTAATAAGTGCAATGAGACCTCCTCTGTTTGTGACAGAAAAAGATCTGGTTGTCCACGAACGAGTGTTCGTACGAAAAAGGTGGTCAAAGCAGTAAGGGAAAGAATTCGAAGAAATCCTGTCCGAAAGCAAAAGATTTTATCTCGGGAGATAAAGATAGCACCTAAAACCATGTCGCGTATTTTAAAAGATGACTTAGGACTTGCAGCCTATAAGAGACGTACTGGTCATTTCTTAAATGATAATTTAAAAGAGAATAGGGTGGTAAAATCGAAACAACTACTGAAACGGTACGCAAAGGGAGGTCATAGAAAAATTTTGTTTACGGATGGGAATTTTTTTACAATTAAGCAACATTTTAACAAACAAAATGACCGTATTTATGCTCAAAGCTCTAAGGAAGCTTCCCAATTAGTCGACAGAGTGCAACGTGGGCACTATCCGACTTCAGTGATGGTTTGGTGGGGTATTAGCTATGAAGGAGTGACTGAGCCATACTTTTGTAAAAAAGGTATCAAAACATCGGCACAAGTGTATCAAGATATCGTTCTTGAGAAGGTTGTGAAGCCCCTTAACAACACCATGTTCAATAATCAAGAATGGTCCTTCCAGCAAGACTCGGCGCCAGGTCATAAAGCTCGGTCTACGCAGTCTTGGTTGGACGTTTCGGACTTCATCAGAGCTGAAGACTGACCGTCGTCTAGTCCGGATCTTAATCCGCTGGATTATGATTTATGGTCAGTTTTAGAGAGTACGGCTTGCTCTAAACGCCATGATAATTTGGAGTCCCTAAAACAATACGTACGATAGGCAGTGAAAAATTTTCCCATGGAAAGAGTGCGTGCTTCTATTGATAGCTGGCCTCAACGTTTAAAGGACTGCAGCCAATGGAGACCACTTCGAATATGCTTTTTATACTTTAAATTGTTTTATACACCTATATGTATTAAACTAACACACTGTAAAAGTAATAAATGTTATTTGCAATAGACTTTTTTTTATTTTTTATTATAACAGTATTTATGGCCAGACTAATTATATAATATAGAAACAAAATAAAATAATTAAAGCATAATCAAACGATTATCCGTTTGAATATTTTGACGAGTCATCAATTTTCTACTATATCAATATTATCGTAATGCTAGTCTGATACTTAATTAAAGTTGGAGTTGATCCGCAAATAACGTCACAACAACTTATGATTCTATTATCGCGCACGCATAAATATTGAGCCGATTAAAATGAAACAATTAAAAGGTAATTCCTTACCAAGTCGGAATGTGGACTTAATACGTTACGATTACGAAGGACGTAGGAACCTATAAACACAATTATAATGTAACATATTACTTCAACTAGATGTTACTGGCATTAACTATACAAATTCCGATTTTCTACTGTGACACATCTAAATGATATAAAAATTCTACTTCTCTACTTCTGAAAGGAAGAATATTTGGTTGACATATTTTTTCCTCTAAATTGCTGTAGATGGGTAGACAAACTGACACCCCACCTGGTTTTAAGCGGCGATCCTATCTCATAAGAGTCCTTGTCTTGTAAAACTTATACTCTTCAAACTGGAATGCTTGATTGTTTCGCTTAGAAAATAGGCAGGGTGATTGAACCCACCCCTATCCGCAAATGTCTCTATGACCAATAAATGCGGCTTCATAATAGCAATATGCTGCTGTAATATTTAGGGAACGTTGTTGCCCATTCTCGAAGAATCTATTTATCGCTTTACAAGACACCTTCCGGAAGAGATGCGCTACTATTCTAGGACGACATCAAATACTCCTAGTAACCACAAAAAATTACAAAGTTTTTTGTCCGAGATGATTGGTGTCTTAACTAAGTTAAATATGTTGTTACATACTCGTACCTCGTATGCATATATCGAGCCCTACGAAATTTTTTTTTATTTTTTTTTTATTGCTTAGATGGGTGGACGAGCTCACAGCCCACCTGTTGTTAAGTGGTTACTGGAGCCCATAGACATCTACAACGTAAATGCGCCACCCACCTTGAGATATAAGTTGTAAGGTCTCACTCAGTATAGTTACAACGGCTGCCCCACCCTTCAAACCGAAACGCATTACTGCTTCACGGCAGAAATAGGCAGGGCGGTGGTACCTACCCGTGCGGACTCACAAGAGGTCCTACCACCAGTAATTACGCAAATTATAATTTTGCGGGTTTCAATTTTATATCACGATGTTATTTCCTTCACCGTGGAAGTCAATCGTGAACATTTGCCGAGTACATATTTCATTAGAAAAATTGGTACCCGCCTGAGATTCGAACACCGGCGCATCGCTCAACACGAATGCACCGGACGTCTTATCCCTTAGGCCACGACGACTTCAAAATTCACAATTCACAATGTAATGGCTCTGGATGACAAAACAAACTCAAGACCCACCGGTGTGCTTAGTGCGAGTTTCTTAACGTTCTCGATAGCGTAAAAGTTAAGCCATTTTTGTATGCAGTTAGAACAGCGCCCCTAGCGGCGAACGTACGCAAACGATCCCATTCCATACAAATATGAGCTAACTTTTACGCTATCGAGAGCGTTAAAAAACTCACACTAAGCACACTGGTCTTGAGTGATTAGCGAAACCCTTGGACAGCTATCTGTTAATGAGCGCCTTGAAACGTGAGATTGAAGCCCTAAAGTCAGAGAGCTGAAGACATAATTTAAAAAAAAATGAAATATTAACACGTGTACCTAATGGGGTAATGGACATCGTATTTGTTAGACAACGAAAACTTCAAAGTATGTATACAAAATTCCAAAAATTGTTGGATGAAAAAAAACAGAACTAAATATAAAATGACATTTTATTCAAAGTAAAACAATTCAACGACAACAATTTTGGTTAAGAAAAAATAGAAAACAATCTTATGTTCGTTCTTATGGGCTGTCATCATGAGCCCAATTACCGAGATACGATATGTAAATTAAAAAAATCGAATATTATAAAATTCGAAGTACACATAAACTAAACATTTTCGGTAAGCCGTTACAACTATAACTTGAATCTTTTCGCAACATCAGGAAACCATTTTAAAGGAACGTTATCTACAAAATCGATATGAATGTTACTCAGTCATAAAATTGTAACTGATAACAATTTTGTCTGATCGCAAAAATCGTCAGTTATTACAAATCCTTCGACATGGGAAGAGTTAAGAAATATTTCAAATCAGAATTTCAATTGAGCAATTTTAATTTAAACCACGATGCTGCATCGGACTTTTATTTGTCTTGTTACCAGAGTAGCCGTTCAAGTGTGCCATTGTTGTGTGTTAGGACCTTGGTGTTCCTGGGATCAGCTGGAATTTTAATGCCGTCATTAATATTAACAAGCCAAAGTATGACTTTCGGGTACTGGACAATATATTTAACTCATTGGGGAATTATTCTAATTACAATCACGTCAGGAGCGGCCCTCGCAGTTTCTTTGGTATCATTAAAAACTGGATGTATAGGTAAGATTTTTTGTTATATTTTAGATTGAATTATAATTACTTCAATTTGGTAGGCGAGTTGTATCCTTTTTTAAGCAAAGCAATAGATCAATAGAATGATAGAGTTGCGAGGCTAATTAAATATTATATTACAGTTGAGATTTAGAATTCATGTCTCAAGAGGTAACAGCAGTTAGGATATGTTTGGTATGTTTGGTCTCCTGTAACTGCCAAATTTTCTGATAACGGCTACTTCTAATTGCATCTGTTGACACTAGGTAAAAAAATATCACATTCAATTTGGACATGGACTCGGCGAATTTTATGATTCCTCATAGTCCCCGGCTTGTGGTCTCTTAAGAATTTATTGTTTTCTAGGTGCGCACTGTGGTTTCACGCACATTCTATGTATTTATATAATAATGTCATTCTTTGAAGCATTAACGGTTTCCAAAAAATGGTAGATACTTCGTAGCTACAAGGGCGATGCAGAAAGCACATTTTCGATTTTTTTTTTTTTTCCCCTACCTATGCTGATAACCTTGAGAGGCTATTTCAGCTTCGCCCTAACGTTTGTAGGTGAGCTCACGGGGTTCAAACCTGACTACGATGCTAACACGAACCCTAGCAAGAGTCGTGCTTCGCAGAATCTACCACCGGATCGGAAACGCGACCCACTGAGAAGATCCGGCGAGAAACTCAGTGGGCTGTGTCTGAGAGTTAATTTGCTCGTCGAGCCCTTCGTCGCAAGCGACGGGTTCGACGAGAACGGTGACCGGTGCTTAAAGTACCTAAAAGCACTGTTAGTGGATCGGGAGGATCCGAATTTATATTATTGCTAATCGAAAGTCTAAGTAATTATAATATTTAAGATGTTCGCATGTCAAAACTTAAAACACCGGGCTGAGTCAGAGAACAAAACACCGAATTCATCAGGAATTTAAATAGATTCGATACATTTTGAAAAGTATTAACTTACAACGTCGTTGGGAATTCTGAAACAAAACCCAAAAAACGTGCATACCTTTTCAATCATAGACGTGTGGTTTATCGTCCTAATAGATCTTCGTCAAATTTACTCACTAGGTGTACTTGACCCAGTAAACACTTTAAATACATATTTATTTGGTCAGGTGGTCGTTGTTACAATAGATTGGGTTGTATCATCGTATTTATAAAATTAGATCAATACTAATTCAAATAGGATACTAAATCCAGCAACATCGTTGAATATGACTGTCTCGTATGCTTAATGAAAACTTTTGAATAACAAGGTTATTGATAGCCTGCTAAGAGATAAAAAGAACGTGTAAAATCATTGAAATTTACAGACAAGACATTTTGTACTGATACCATTTTAATTCGAATTTGTTGATTAGATAGTGAACAAAGATTTAAAATGACTAATTGTTTCAATTCTTAATTTTTATCACAGTATTTCCTGATGATTGCGATTTGCGTTTATTACTCACTATAAATCCACAACGGAGTGCATGGAATGTGATCGTGCAACCTAACCAATGCATCAGCCCGCTGAGTTTCTCGCCGGATCTTCTCAGCGGGTCGCGATTCCGATCCGGTAGTAGATTCATTCGCGAAGCAGCTGATCTTGAGTTGTTAGGTCTCCTTCGGAGGAGCTCGGGCAGTTGTTAGCAAATCACACCCCTCCTGGCTGAGCCTTTGCTCGCCCACCTGTCCTGGTGGAACTGGAAAGGCCTTCGGGCCACCAGTAATCTATCAGTCATAAAAAAAAGGAATGTGGTGTTGTGTGTTAAATTAAAATGTTTCTTTTATCCCATATACCCCCTGCCCCCGTTGGGTCTAAGTTATTATCGAAACCCATAGACATCGTGAGTACCACTGCTCACATTGAAACACAAGGTAAAATCCACTACCCGAAATGGCGCCCAGAATCTTCGCCATAGATATAAGTACTGATTCCAACCCGAGCAGGCTCGCAAATGGTCAGCCATAAATAATCTACAAATATTATAGAATGCGTGCCCTTTAATTACTTACATAGTTTTTATGGCTTAATCGTCAGAACTACAGCTAATAACCCCAATACTACTGTGAAGTTTTCAATCCATAATACCACCGCAAGATCCGTTTATTCGTTGAGTTTAAGAAAATGTTTAGACTCTACCGATCCCTTTGATACGATTTATATGTTTTCAGAAGCATCATTTGTACTGCCGTGGTACGTGAAAGCGTACTGGGTGTGCTTCAATATCACAGTTCCTATTGCGTTTTTTATCACGATATTCTACTGGAGCTTACTGACCAAAACAGGTAAATGTTTACAAATGTTCAATTGTAATTAACAATTGCCTATTATTTTGGTCATAAAATATTACTGGCCAAGCAATTAAGTATACAACACAAACATGTTTCGGTTAAAATATGTAATTTTATTAATAACTAGCTGTACCCGGCCGCTTCGCTGGGCATTTGAAATTAACATTATAATTTCTCACCCCCACAAAGATTCTCATCATTAACGCCCCCGCAACTGGTGTAGGGAGTCCAACACTCACATAAATATTAGCCTATCCATTAAGAACATATATATTTTACATGGATACCAAGCATCAAGTCAATCGGAAGCATGGTTCAGTAGTTATAACGGAACATCCGTAAAAAGCACTGTAGATTTATATATTAGTCTAGATTAACTACTACCACCGAGCGAAAACGCGGTAGCATGTAGCCTTGAGTGAACTCAACTCTGCCTAGAATTTCTTTTTTATTGCCTAGACGGTTGAAAAATTCACAGCTAACCTGGTGTTAAGTGGTTACCAGATCCCATGAACATTGCAATGTTAATGCCGCCACCGAATTGTATCTATGTCACCAATGTATAGTATAACGGCTGTTCCGCCCTTCAAATAGCAACGCATATCTGCATGCAGGTCCAAAAACAAGGAGAACGGTGGCACCTACTGATTAGAGTTACAATTTTCCTTTTCACTAATTACCTGTCTCTTCCGCCGGAAATATCCCACTCCTAAGTAGGATATTCCCACTGCCAGTGGAGGATGTATCCAATGAAAGAAAGAAGAACAAATAAACCAGACACCTGAACATCGTGTAATAAAAATCAAACCCGCTAATTTGCGTAATTACTGGTGGTAGGACCTCTTGCAAGTCCGCACGGGTAGGTACCACCGCCCTGCCTATTTCTGCCGTGAAGCAGTAATGCGTTTCGGTTTGAAGGGTGGGGCAGCCGTTGTAACTATACTGAGACTTAGAACTTATATCTCAGGGTGGGTGGTGCATTTTACGTTGTAGATGTCTATGGGCTCCAGTAACCACTCAACACCAGGTGGGATGTGAGCTCGTCCACCCATCTAAGCAATAAAAATAATAATAATAATAAAGCTAAAAGTGATATGATAAATGTCTTCCTGGTGGCTCGTCAAACTGTCTACACCAATTGAAACTTGTATTATTTTTGAGGAAACCACAACAATATTATTTAGAATTTCCTCATTATGGATTACACAATACCTACTTTAAATTGGTACTTTAACAAGACGTCATATTGCACTTAAATTGACGTCAAGTGGTAAATTTGATGAACGAAACAAATCTTGAATAATAAAACAAACAGGTTCCTTTGTCTCCTCTCTTGTTTTCAAAACACGATTAACTTTTATTTCAATTTAGTCATTTTAAATATATTTTTCTTGAAGTCTCTTTTATTTAATTTTTTTTTTATCAATTATAAGAAGTCGTTATTTCGTTATTATAAAAAATATTTTAAATTTTTTTCATATTCTATTGTCTCTTCAAAACCTATTTAATTAATTCGGACGGGACTCGATAAAGGAAAAGTTCGGACGGAACTTGACAATAAGTACGGAAAATAATTTTGGCATGGTAGTACAATGCAATTAAGTTTTGTAAGATACTTAGAACACTGAGTAGAGTAATTATTGTTTACATCAATTGACCGAATTAGATAAGATTTAAATGCTTACATACAGTACAACTCACATCAACTAACCCAATACTTCTTTGTAATTTCAGAAGATGAATATGCTATGGATCCGGTTCTAGACGTGTTCATCCATGCTGTTAATGCGGTCCTAATGTTAGTTCTACTGATGTTCTCTCGTCATCCTGTACGATGTCTACATTTCTACCACCCGCTATTGCTCGGAGTCGTATATCTCATCTTCAGCATTGTTTATTACTACGCTGGCGGAACTAATCCGTAAGATTTATTGCTACTTCTTTGATGAATTTCATCACGATCTCGACTAGAAAACTAAAACTTTTGATTGTTATCCAACAGCTTTGGTGAGCCGTATGTGTACCCGATGCTGGACTGGTCGAATCCTGGGGTGGCTGCCATTACAACTGTGGGCTCGGCAATATTTATCATCATAGTACACATCATAATTGTTCTCTTGTCAGTTGCAAGGGACAGCCTTACAAGACGTTTCACGAAGTACCCACACTCATTGGACATATCTAATGACCTATACCATTAATATTTTCCGTTCGAAATCTCATTACTATAATTATTAGAGTGTGCTGTTAGATATTTTATCGGCCAAAATGTGGTCTTAAAATATACATATCGGAGAAAGTAATTAGTTTGGTAGCTAAACGAAACGCAGCACGATTCCCGGGAGATGGTAGCACGATTGCGGAACTCGGCTAACTTCGTGCTACGACAGAGCCCAGGTCATGGAGAAGCGTAGACGCCATCGCACTTACCAAATAGCCTTCTTGAAGAGCGGTGCCTGCGGCCTAAGAACTGTCATTCGTTTTCGTTTGCTAACGTCAAGAGAAGATTTCTAAATTGTTCTAAGACAACAAACGTTATTACGGCGGGATGGATGTAATATGCTCACGGATCGTTTGGAGCCTCTGGGTCTGCGGAGGGACTTCGGTTCCCTCTGTATTCTGTGCCGTATGTTCCATGGGGAGTGCTCTGAGGAATTGTTCGAGATGATACCGGCATCTCGTTTTTACCATCGCACCGCCCGCCACCGGAGTAGAGTTCATCCATACTACCTGGAGCCACTGCGGTCATTCACAGTGCGTTTCCAGAGATCTTTTTTGCCACGTACCATCCGGCTGTGGAATGAGCTCCCCTCTACGTTGTTTCCCGAGCGCTATGACATGTCCTTCTTCAAACGAGGCTTGTGGAGAGTATTAAACGGTAGGCAGCGGCTTGGCTCTGCCCCTGGCATTGCTGAAGTCCATGGGCGACGGTAACCACTCACCATCAGGTGGGCCGTATGCTCGTCTGCCTACAAGGGCAATAAAATAAAAAAAATGCTCTGCGTAAACCCGGTCCCGCCGTCTCAATAGCCCCGCCCGGTCCGGGGTAGTGCGCCGGCTGTGAGCGGCAGGAGTTGTTAGTGAGGTTCGACTCCCACATACCCCACCTGCCGTGCGGGTGGGAAGCCGGCAATTTTCTCCTGTGGAAAAAAAGAAGACATCAAACGTTATTGATGTACTCAATATTTCTCTTAGCTCGATTACCCTATTCGTCCCTATGATGTCTGACGATGGTGCTAATAATGTGGTCTCTCCGACATACATAATGTATTGGTATTAGTAAAAAAGCGTTAAACTTTTTTTACTTCAGTTCAGTATAACCTTGTATCATGTGGCGAATTTTTAGGATTAACATAAACAGGAAATAATTTATGATTTGTAAATTTCAATAAGTTTCTTGAAGCATGTAAATTGTCTAATAATTCTTAACAATTTAATTATATCAATAGTAAAATGTAACTGAATTGTAAAGCTAAAACTTATAATCTCATAAACTCTGCGACATATAAGATATTCGTTCACAATATGTAAACAAGTTTTTTTTGTAATTTTTACCCGATTTAAAATAAAAGGAAATTCAGTGTTCAACTGTCATTTTTGCTTCAGTTCTGTGTATTTTTGTACGGATATTGGAACAAATTATTATTTGAAATAAAATTATTTTCGAATGTACATTGTTGCGTTTAATTGATATATTGCCCCGAACAATCTTTCCTTTTATGATTATAAGTACATGCAAGTGTATCCGTAATTTTGACGTGCTTAAATTTTCTTTTATTTGTCATTATTTTAAATGAAAATAAAAACAATTTCAACCCAAGTTCATCTAATACATTACTGAAAGCCACATATTTTTTTTTTTTTTTATACGTACATAAATTTTAGTACAGTAAAAGCTTAATGGCGCTTACTTCGTTCGGGTTTTCATTATTCGCGAATTAAAATGTGATACAATTCCTATACTTCTTTATTCGCGGATCTAAGCGGTACATCGGTACATACACATTGATAAAAAGGATTCCAATATCTAGGTATCCAACCGAATATCCTTTGTAAACGAGTCGTCAAATAGACTAATAAAAAAGTAAAATAGAATTTATTAAAAATATGCCTAAAGTATGTTATAAAATGATATCGACTGGGAACGTATCCCCTATAATCCCATATATGTCAATTACCATTCCATATTCACGGTTTCTGTATTCCCGGCATTCTTAGGGAACATGCCCCTGCGAATAAAGAGCTTTTACTGTATTGCCACATTAGGCGAAGAACTAATGTCGCACCTGATGGTAAGTTATTACCGTTGTTCATGGACACTAGTAATACCAGAAATATGGCCAACCCACTGACTCGTATAAAGAAAGACGTGACCTGAAAACACAGTGGAAATTAATTTCAAGCCGGACTGTATATGACAATTCACTTCACTTCACTGCTGGTAGGACGTCATGTGAGTCCGCACGGGTAGGTACCACCACCCTGCCATTTCTGCCGTGAAGCAGTAATGCATTTCGGTTTGAAGGGTGGGGCAACCGTTGTAACTATACTGACACCTTAGAACTCACATCTCAAGGTGGGTGAAGGCATTTACGTTGTAGATGTCTATGGGTTCCGGTAACCATTTAACACCAGGTAGGCTGTGAGCTAGTTCATCCACATAAGCAATAAATAAAAAAATGGCGAATTAAAACTGTCGTTGAACACAGTAGTCATAAGTATCAAGGATAAATGGTAGGTGATAAATGGTATGATTGCTAAAAGGAAATGATAGGATCATATATACAACTAGCTGTACTCGTCCGCTTCGTAGGGCATTTAAAATTAACATTATTATTTCTCACCCCCACAAATATTCTCATCATTAACGCCCCTTAACTGGTGTAGGGAGTCCAAAACTCGTATAAATATTAGCCTATCCATTAAGTATATGTATATTCTACATGGATACCAAGTTTCAAGTCAATTTGATGCACGGTTCAGTAGTTATAACGGAACATCCGTAAACACCACTGTAGATTTATATATTAGTATAGATTCCTCAGAGCATAACCTGTGGAACATTGAGTTCAAGAACACAGAGAGCTTAAAATTTTCTCGTTAGGCCCAGAAGTTCCAAAGAATCCATGATATTGGCCGTATCAACAATCCAAAGAGTCCTCTTCTACATGGACTCAAATGGAAATGGTGTGTACTTGAGAGCCCCGGCTCAGACGAGACAGAGTACTCGACGCGAGGCTTGTCCAGGGCTTTAAATAGCGTATCTTTAATCAGGCATAACGTTCGCTCTGTTATGAACTCCCAACATATTAAAGCCAATTTAGGTTTACCTTCCAAGATACTCCCATTCTAAACTATCTACAAAATCCAATCACTCGAATATCGAATCTATTACTCTCGGAAAGCTGTAGGCCGCTGTATGAACCTTAGAATCATAGTACTATTAGCGGCTTCATCTTCGTACAGATTAAACAAGTAACTACTATTTTATCAATACAATAAAAATATTTTGTTAAGTTCCTACGAGTGTTGTTCGGGAGACTAGACCATTAATATAATCGTCTGAATTTTCAAAGAAATCAAGCTTAACGTGAGGTATGTCAAAATGTTATCATTGCTTTTTTTTATTGCTTAGATGGGTGGACGAGCTCACAGCCCACCTGGTGTTAAGTGGTTACTGGAGCCCATAGACATCCACAACGCAAATTCGCCACCCACCCTGAGATATAAGCTCTAAGGTCTCAAGTATAGTTACAACGGTTGCCCCACCCTTCAAACCGAAACGCATTACTGCTTCACGGCAGAAATAGGCAGGATGGTGGTACCTACCCGCGCGAACTCACAAGAGGTCCTACCACCAGCTTCCATTCATTATTTGCAACAGTGTATTAATTTTCAGGGTTTTGCCTCCACGATAATTTGAGATGTATTTATTATTTCCTTTAGTAAATGTGACGTAAGTTGCTTGTAAATTACAGGAGAATATTAATGTATTTAAGTCTTGGTTATGTTAGCAAAGATCACTGTAAATTTAACAGTTCAACCTTTAGCTTTGATTAAGCGCAACGTTGAAAATTTAAAATGTTGGCACTAGTTATTCCTATTCAAAAACTGCTAACGCTAATATTTACGATTGTGGGTTGTGAAATATTTTATTTTTTATATAAAAGGTAAAGATTAGAACCAGTTTTTAGTAAATTACTATTTTAATGATAAATTTCTGAAGTGTTTCGCAATAAAATATACTAAGTTTTGTCGAATTAAAATCACTAAACGAACGGCGTGATATTGATACAAAATATTTGGCATCAATGATAATAACAATCGCAATGACTCGTTGACAAATAGTTCGCTATCAAAGATACCTTTATCGTTCTCTAATCGATAACGTTACGTGTATTTCAGTGTAAAAGTTACTCAAACAATTGTCAAGATGAACGCGTTCGTGAAGTATATAAAACAAGAAACGCACGTTGGGATGCTTGGATTGGAACATGCGAAGCCATCTGACTTTTACCTAAGCGCTTGGCAGACAACGCGGTCGCCCGTGCCACTTTTAATTTGGCGGACTTTACTCTTCCTCACTTCGCTTAGCACAGTGATATCTTCGATGACTTTTTATGTAATGAACGACAAATTCGGTTACTGGTTCATTTATCTCACACATTGGGGCCTCACGATCAACACTCTGGCGACGGGTTTTGCAACTGCTGTTTCTGCACGTTGCTACTTCTACGGACCAATTAGTGAGTTTATATAAATTTTTTTAATTTTTCATTTGCACGCTCGAAATTTTCAGTTTCTTAATTAATTGAGTATTTCAGTATTTATTAATTTCCTCCTCGGTTTAATTATATTTGTATTAAAATAATTTATTTAATGTATTTATTTCAAAGATAAAATTTGATTTTGTTGTGTCAATGGAGTTTTGCTTTTATTTTATAACAGGCGCTGAATTCAAACTACCGTGGTATGTCAAGGTTTCCTGGGTGCTCTACAACATTGCCGTACCACTCGCATTCCTGATCACCATTTTCTATTGGTCTTTACTTTTTGAGGGTATGTATTTCATTATTAATTTATTTATGAAAATTAATAACACAATTGAAAGTCTGAATCCTGTAAAGGATAAATAATAATAAAACGTAGGTCCACACCCAATTTAAATCCTTCCTCCGCATTTTAATTTAAAGCTGTTTTCTGAACAAGTAAATTAAATGATATCGTAATATTAGACATAGGTAATTAATAAAATACCAATCTAATAATCTAAAACACTAATTGCAATTTTCAACACACAAAAGGATGACACTTTCAAATAATTTCCAAGTTTTATCATGCCACATTTAAAAAACTTTCAATTTTCCAGCTGGAATTGAAGAAGAGTTAAACCACGCCTTGGATGTGGCCATCCACGGTATCAACTCCTTGGTAATGTTCATGTTGATGTCGAGCTCTTTGCTCCCAAGTCGCTTACTACACATTTATCAACCCTTAACCTTCTCCGTGGTTTATGTCACCTTCGGGATTATATACTACTTCGCTGGTGGGGTTGAACAGTGAGTATTTAAACAGATTTTCATTTAAGACTAGCGGACCCGGCAGACTTCGTAGTGCCTAAATCGATAAAATATAAAAGACCTTAACTTTTGTATAAAATAAACTTAAAACAAAAAAAATAATCCGTCCGACACATCAAAGGGAAAACAAAATTATTATTTTTATTTAATTCCGAGCATTTTCATATTTATCTACCCTTTAAACCTTCTCTGGACTTCCACAAATCATTCAAGACCAAAATTAGCCAAATCGGTCCAGCCGTTCTCGTGTTTTAGCGAAACTATATAGATTATTTTGTTCCAATGTAGACACACGACATGCTTTAGCACAAATATTGTTGATTTATTTAATAATTATGGAATTTTGAATGAATTAAACTATTCAAGCTCACTTGGAAAATCGTTGTTTATCCGATTGTCATCAATTTGTTTGCAAAACTTGTTATCACCATTCTGTCTTTTTCAAAAGTAAAGCAATCGCGCTATCCGCTTTGTAGGGTGGGGAGCCGTTACGTAATGCAATTGATTCGACCCCATGTCTCAATATCTCAAGGTGTCTGCGTCATTCACGATGTAATCTCTATTCGTTGGTACAATATGGACAATGCTCGTATATCGATCGAAGTCAATAAAATAATATATTATTTTACATTACCATTTTACACACCGAAACTTAGGTACTTAATACTATTTCGTTTTTTCAGAGAAGGAAACCCTTGGATTTATCCGGTAGTGAATTGGGCCAACCCTGGACCCACTGTCGGGGTTGTGGCTTTAACTGGACTGCTACTGGTCATATTGCACTCAATAACAGTGGCGTTTTCCGTTGGCCGAGACAAACTCTCTAAAAAGTTCCTTAATGCCACATCACCAAACGTACCTGAGGAGGTGCCTCTGCGGCAGCCTACACTAACTCCAACGGCAACAGTACAACTAAATGACAGCTGATTGATTCAAAAAGATAAAGAAACAAAACCAATGTAGACGGCGAAATGAGCTGTTATTGAAAAACGAATATCGGTCACTGAGACCCACTTGATATTTGAAGTTAACACTTTTTCGCTCGAAAATACAGTAGCGTTTTTAGCGTATATCTATACTAATATTATAAGAAGGAAAGATTTGTTTGTTTGTATTGAATAGGCTGCGAAACTACTGAACCGATTTGAAAAATTCTTTCACTGTTTGGAAACTACACTATTCCCGAGAGAGATAGGCTATGTTTTTTGAAAAAAATTAGGGATCCTTACTAAAACTCCAATAACCCAAGGTGTAAAAAAATTACCTAAAATATTCTTTACATCGCGTGCCCTGCGAAAACTATTGATGATAGAATAAAATAATGTACTACGACTTTGTAGAACACATTATTATTTACAAAAAGTGTCGCGACAGCATGTCTAACTATTATAGTTATGCCGCAATAAGTGTTCTTTCATTTAAAAAGAAATAAAACCGTTGAAATTTTTGTTAAAGACCCGAGCGGAACCGGAGCGGGCCGCTGGTTGATAAATAAACTTAGTAAAACTAATTTATATAAATTACAAGACACGGTCGAATTGGTTGTATAAAATCAATGCAGTGTTCAAGTTTCATAGGATTAAGATAAAACTAATGGCTTAATGAAAACTTAGACTAATTTTGTTGATTCTATGAGTGTGTGTGCCAGGTATGACTGGATGTACAAATAATAGTATTAAGAGTTTGCTGCAAAAACATAAAATAAATTGTTGTTACCAAACAGTTGTTTCTATGATAGCAATTATTGAATATATCCAATTAATAACATTGCTTCCATATAACTTTGTGTATGTATTTTACTGTTTAAACCTAGCATTTTACTATTTAAAGCAAAATCATAAATTTACAAATACAGTCAAACCTGGATAAGCGAGAGTTCAAGGAAGCACAATCTCATTCTCGCTTATAGAGGTTTCTCACTAACCCGAGTTTCTCGCTAATGCTCCCTCTGAATTTCGATTCGCGATTTTCCGCATTCAAATGCATTCACTATTTTAAGTTTATGACTTTAATGACAGTACTTTAATTTTCCGTTTTTACATGATGCAGAACAGAACTTTCCTTCGCAATTGATTAACGATAAACTGAGTAAGTCCGACAAACAGGACGGTACACAGGCACACGTGTCCATTCGAAAATAATGCGATAAAAGAATACGATAAAATAACAACGTTATTTAGTTCCACGAAATAGAATAGGTTCAATATTCACGAGAAAACAATACAAAAACAATGATAGGAAGTTCCACGAAAGTTAAAAATGAGTCATAAAATAGCAGATGTTAAATTTGTAATTTGTTTTGTCATTTGTTCCTCCTAAATAATATAAATAAATAAATAAAGCTCGGCTGTCGCTTATAGAGGTATAGATAGGTAGCAGTCTCACTTACGGAGGTCCATGAGGAAAAAACGACTCTCTCTTACAGAGGTTTCTGTTTCTCGCTAATAGAGATTTTGGGAGCTTAAAATGACGGGTCCTTGCTATTACTCTCACTTATAGAGTTTTCTTACTTATCCAGTTCTCACTTACCCAGGTTTGACTGTAGTCATACATACTTCATTCTAAATAACTTATCGTTATATGTATGTATGTTATGTCTGTAACTATACTATACTCCAATTATTGCTCAATTATATTCCAAGAGATTCCATAGATACAATCGAAGAATACCAAGGAGGATTGATACATATATTAACTTGGAAATAAGACAATAAATGACAAAGACAATTAGGGACAAGACAGCGTTGTGATAGTTAGCTGCATGATTAATTGATTAAACAAATGTAAAATTCAAACTTGGTAGTTAACGAACGTGATATGTGCAAACAATTATTTTGACGAAATATATCCTCCACATTGAATTATATTATCATTAGTTACATCTAATAGGACTAAAGTGATAATTTGCTTTAAACAAGAAAGTAAAATTAAGCTCTAAATACTTTAAAATTTCAATTCCAATAAATCGCAATTTATCAAAACTCAGTGATGTACTTAAACTTTGATGATTATGGGTAAGTCGAAATAGTTGATGAGTTTTTTTTTTTTATTGTTTATACGAGTGATCGAGCTCGCCTGATGGTAACTGGTTACCGTTACCATAGGTAAACAATACAACGTGAACGAAAACCTTGACCCTTGGAGTGTTTGTTACACGATGCTACTCCTACAGTGGAAGTAACTCGTGCATATATTTCTGTGTCAATTGTCATACAATAATAATGAAAGCGTACAAAATTCTAAATCTGTGAATTTTTTATGATTGCCACAATATTGTACTTTCATATGAGTAACGCTCACAATCCTGCTAATTTATGCTACAAAGTACCCTTCCTTCCTATTTTGAATAGTTAGAGCCGTTACTCCTACAGTTCAAAGTCCTATATCCTACGCTAGTAACAGTCGATCCGGCTATTCTTCCGGGAATACCGGTACACAATCCTGCTTTCCAACTGTCTCTAGTACATTCCCTCAACTCATTCGTAGTAGCAATATCCTCTATGTTTCCTGCTAAGTATTCGTGTATTTCTCTTTGATAGTATTGACATTTCCACCATTGTATCATGAACGCTTTAGTAGCAGGACATAGTGATACATTTATTAACATTAACCTATTAATCTTTGTTAAGCTATCACCACAAATAATAATAAAATAAATAAATAATAGATAAAGTCGTCGTGGCCTAACGGATAAGACGTCCGGTGCATTCGTGTTGAGTGATGCACCGGTGCTCGAATCTCAGGCGGGTACCAATTTTTCGAAAATGAAATACGTACTCAACAAATGTTCACGATTGACTTCTACGATGAACGAATAATATCGTATAAAAAAAACGAAACCCGCAAAATTATAATTTGCGTAATTACTGGTGGTAGGACCTCTCGTGAGTCCGCGCGGGTGGGTACCACCACCCTGCCTATTTCTGCCGTGAAGCAGTAGTGCGTTTCGGTTTGAAGGGTGGGGCAGCCGTTGTAACTATACTTGAGACCTTAGAACTTATATCTCAAGGTGGGTGGCGCATTTACGTTGTAGATGTCTATGGGTTCCAGTAACCACTTAACACCAGGCTGGCTGTGAGCTCGTCCGCCCATCAAAGAATTTAAAAAAAGTCGTGTATTTCTCTTTGATACTATTGACATTTCCACCATTGTATCATGATGGGCCGCGGTATTAGCCTTGTGACGTTTGTTGGATCCAGTAGTCAACAGGGCTTGCGCAACGACTGTTTCACCTTACAAAACGGATCACACGATTGCTTCGTTTTTTAATTAGACAGGATGATGATAACTACTTAATGATCAGTGCGATCATCCACTTTAACAATGCGCAAAAGAGTTATATGTAAAATGCGACCTCACGTCGGCATTGAAGTTTCTGTGGGCCCACGGCTGTGAGCTCGTCTCTTCAACAGCATTATAAGCATCTTCATCCTTAAGTACCTATATGACGACAACATTGAAATGCTCCTTCGCGACAACGATTTTTTTTTATTGCTTAGATGGGTAGACGATCTCATAGCCCACCTGGTGCTAAGTGGTTACTGGAGCCCATAGACATCTACAACGTAAATGCGCCACCCACCTTGAGATATAAGTTCTTAGGTCTATGTATAGTTACAACGGCTACCCCACCCTTCAAACCGAAACGCATTACTGCTTCACGGCATAAATAGGCGGGGTGGTGGTACCTACCCGTACGGACTCACAAGAGATCCTACCACCGATGCGACACAATAAGCCCATTAACACCTTGAATTACCTCTTTGGGCCGGCTTCCATAACAGCCACCCATCGTTGACACTAGGACACGTCCCGATAGTAGTTTCGGTACAGTTGGCTGTCCTAGTTCAGACCCTAGCAACGGCTAAAGCTCAGTTCACCGTGCTCACCCAGTCCATCGAAGTTTTCGAAGTTATTCTTAGCCCACAGTATCAGCTGAATCTTAAGTGCAGCAGAAATACTGCCCCTCGACTGTTTGACCTCCCTCAGTTTGTTATAATTTGTTCTGGTGAAACTAAAATGGCCTATGAGCCACTATTAATCTCGCGATCCTAAAAAAACTGCAAAAAAATAATGTTTTTTTCGTCATCCCAAATATTCCTCTTCATTTACGAGCAGACTCAACAACACGATTTGATAAGACAGGTATTTCGTTTGCAGCCATAAAGATCTCGTCGCCGTAGATGCTTCTGGAAATAAAAATAAAAGTATTTTTTCAACGTCTGCTGTTCTCCGATTGATCAATAATTTATATTTTTCTTTGTATGCCAGTTCAGCCAGTTGTAATACCTTCAACAGATTAACTGTGTAATTATGCAGCTCATTATAAATGCATATATGTAATTATCCTTATGTTGTATTTGTTTTATTGTCTGAACCAGAACAGTTAACTACATTTGAACACGATAAGGTTAGGTCAATTAGTAGCAATAGTTAATCAGGTACCTTCTGAATTATGAAAAAAACATTGTAGCGTATCGCGATGAAGTCAGAACTTTATTTAACTACAAATTTTAAATTTGTTAAATACCATTTGTTAACACCCTGAATTTTGCTGCATGCACGCATTGGTAGGTGTCTTCTCAGATATGATGGAAAATCAGTTCGCGGGATTCATGGTATTAAGCGGCTACTTAGAGGTAAAAATATAAACTTATACTATACAGTGCAGAGCAGTCGTTTAGTGGGTCTTCTTGGAATTACAACCCCATGGTTTGTTCCTAATATCTGCAGACCGTCGATTCCCATAGAGCGTGCTACCTAGACACGGGGAGGCCACAAAAGGTTCGGCCCCCAGCGCATAAAAAAAGCCGCGCTGGTAATTTTGTGCTCACAATTCCGGATTAAAAACGCCTTGTATCTTATATTGGCAATAGCAATTTCCATCTTCGACTACCACATAATAATAGCCCAAATTTTATCCTGATATAGCTCTATATAAATCAGTTCAGTGATAAGACGGTGTACTCGTATCGCAGGTACCAATTTTTCTACGATGAAGGCATACCGTCCTGAAATAAAAATCAAACTACAATTTTTTTTTGTATTTAGTGGATAAGCCGATTAGTCATCCATTTCGGTGTGAAGAATGGGACAGTCGTTGTAATATGCATTTGACACTTCGACCTCATGTCTCAAGATGGGTGATAGCCTTCACGTTTTTTCTTTTTTAATTTGTTGTAAAGGTGGAACAAAATATTTACAAAAGTTTTTAATCATACCAAAGCTCGTATCAGTAACTACTGTACTAACCAAAAAACCTGAAAATCAAACAGAGGAGAAGAGGTACTGATCTGTTGTATCAACAAATCACACCCGATCATTTGGATCCAAACTAGGAATCCCTGTACAACTTACTTATATACTTTTAAACCTATATTTATATGTTTGTGTTTAATAAAAATATATTAGTCACTTCAGTATATGTATATTATTTTAATAACCTAAAAGTATATATTATTATCCGCAACACGCTTCGTCAGATTACAGAAATAGAGTTACCAGCAACATGCTTCGTCAAAAAGTACAATACTTACTTTCAGCTACGTCTTCATAAGTAAACAAAAGTAAAAAAAGTAAAGTAAAAAAAATGTATATTAAACACTCAGACAATGAATGAAAAAACCTCTTTGTCCCGCGTATATCTACTTATCTCAAGTGGGAATAACCAACGACCCTTGGTCCGGCAGTCAGGGTCACTAACAACTACGCTACCGAGCTATTCACAATATAAATAACATTTTTAGTGATGTATATAGTATATATGAAAGTATATGAGAATTATTTCCGAAAGCAAAACGAACTGCTTTACTTAATTTAAATTAATTTATTATTAAGTCTGCCTTTCAACCCATTTAATGTCTGGCCGGATCTTGTCAGCGAGTCGCTATCCCAATCCGGTTGTAGATTCAGCCAAGAACTGCTCTTGCTAGGGTCAGTGTTAGCAACTATCTCAGAATTTTGTCAGATATGTAAAGGATATCCTATTTAACAATGGCTAGTTATCAATATATTGTTTGTGTTGATTGTATTGTTGTCTACTTATGTAGATACCATTTTTTTTTCTCTGAAATTCGTAATTTTATTTTTATTTGTATTTTTTTATTCTTATTTGTAATTTTGTTTTCAATGACCAAAGTTATGTACATTAATACGGATTTGCTGAGTGCACATACCATTTAGATTGAAATCCAGATTAGATCTAGGTACTACTTGTACGATTTAGCTAATATGTACTGTAATGATTGTAACTTGTTTTGTTCATCAATAAATAAATAAATAAAAGAATGAGCGCATGAGCTTACCTAGCGTCCGTGAGTAGTTGGTATATCCCCTTAGCTTATTAACATTAGGTAGAGACAAAAACCTCCCTTTAGATTACAGATTATTCGAAACAACACATATATTCCGCTTTCTTTAAATTCTATTATTTTCAGCTTATCTTCAGCTTTAGGAACTTCCTAAGGTGTAAATATTATTTTTAACATATACCCCGAATAAAGAACCCTCCGATCTTTTCAAATAAATGAGTACCTAAATCTGTTCAAAGTCAAAAATGTGGGTTTATTTATGTTACGTATCTGATTAAAAATTCCGCAAAAACACGCGGTCTCTGGGAAACCCAACGCAAAACTATTTAAACTGAGCATTTTAAACTTTTTCCTTCATTGCAGTTGCTAGATTACCAAACTTGTTCGTTCTCGCATGCATTAACAATATAACAATACCAACGGTCTGGAACTAACGGCTCGTTCCCACGTGATATTATTATCAATCAAATTTACTTATTCGTTCGATATTTAAAAAACATTCAAGGAACTAATGACATAATTATGACAGGTATTTCGACATAAAAACTCGAACGATTACATAAGTGAGAGTCGGATTAGTTTGCGCAAGTTCAATGCGAAGTGTTGCAGAATAGCACGAAGCGTTCGATGCAACGGCCGCAGCGCTGTGTCCGTCGCAAGAGTCGATCAGAAGCGCACCTCGCACAGAATCAACTTTGTTATTTTAACTGCCATTTTAAATAAAACAATGGAACGTACGCAAAAAAGAAACAGTGCTGTGATTGTTTAACTTGATTTGAAGGTGGACTTGTAGCTCAAAACGTACTTTTTCTGTTTCGTATTAAACTCATAAACAATAAATGTTATATGAATATTTTTAAACTTAATACATAGAGTTAGCAGAATAGAGTAGTGATCGATAAAATTCTCAGCTGATAACAGTTCAGCCCTTCTGACTTAGTGTTCCGCGGCACGTTTCGAGGCATTTGGTACCTATTTATCTGTTCTTATCTGAGATTCGATAGACATTCGTATTCTTAAGATGGAGTGAATCAGTGCAGTGATCAAAATGGTGAAATTTTATAGGAAAAGTATCACGCACTCGGACTTGTGGGTGACTTCGCATGATAAACTGAGTGATTTCTACGCGTCGTCATGGCAACCTGGAGAAGCACCAGTCCCTCTGTTGGTCATGAGGTTGATACTAGCAAGTGCGGCTCTGGGGATCCTGGTGTGGTCGGTGACCGTATCCCCGACGCCCACATGGCTGGTATTCCTCACTAACTGGGGCCTTGTATTAGTGGCGATGACCACACTGAATGGCCTAGTTTTGTCATGTATCGCTCTATGCAGAAAGAACATGGGTAAGCTAAAATTTCTAAACCCTTAACGTAATTAAATGTATTTATGTTGCAAAGCGATAAAAAAATATAGGTACTTTTACTCAGAAAGTTGGTGTCAATAAAAGTCCAAACAAATCAAACAGAAAACCGAGGTTAATTGAAAAGTGTTTGTTTCTGTATGTCAAAAATTTCTGTCTACATCATTGTGAGATTATTGACGCCGGTTCTTTACGACGAATAATTAAATACATTTATGACATCGATTACTGTTAATAGCCTGAACGATTGATTAGATACCTACACCAATGTTTGTGTTTTATTAAACAGGTATACTGGCCTTCACGCCCTTATCGGACTGGGAGGCCGGGGCCGTATCCCCATGTCCTCGTATAATCGCGTGGTTAATATTTTTATAATCAACGTTTAATTCAGCTGTTAGGTACAGTTATCTACACCATGTTTGGATAATCCTAATGTTGCCGTTTGAATGTGTTTATGTAGGGTGTAGGGAAAACAATCCAGATTCCAAAACGGTGTTATTATTGAATATCAAAACTAAATTAAATGGTGACGCAAATTAAACCAAATAAGATCCCTGAGTAACAATGAAATATTAACAATATTAAAAGAGCAACGCGCCCTACCTAGGCAGGAAATTAAAAAAAAGCGAGGAAGGAAAATAATCAAATATAAACTACCATTTATTTTTCCTGTTATAAAAATAATATCAGAAAAATATGTTAAAAATTAACAATAATATAAACGTTTTGTTGTGGTATTTATTCAATGATATGGCAATAAGCCAGGTGTTATTGCCGTTGTTATTTGCTTTAAATAATAGTTACTGATAGTTTATTGTACCTATCTTGTTTTGTATTTAATAGATTACATTGATTGAATCCAATCTAAGTTCTTATTTTTCAAACATCTACATTCAAATTGTGAGATTTTATGGTAAAGTCAATTCTATCTGCTTCTTTTAATTCTTATACACATATCCGGTCACCGTCCTCGTCGAACCCGTCGCTTGCGACGAAGGGCTCGACGAGCGAATTAACCCATAGACACAGCCCACTGAGTTTCTCGCCGGATCTTCTCAGTAGGTCGCGTTTGCGATCCGGTGGTAGATTCTGCGAAGCACTGCTCTTGCTAGGGTCAGTGTTAGCAACACTCCGGTTTGAGCCCCGCGAGCTCACCTACACACGTTAGGGTGAAGCTGAAATAGCCTCTCAAAGCTATCAGCATAGATAAAAGAAAGAAAAAAAAAGAAAAAACACAGTATTACAAAGTATTAAACAGACTTTGGTCCAGTCTAGAGCACTGCAGGATTCTTCCTTATAAATTAATGGGCAACAATAGTTTTTCATCAAATTAATTTTTAGTTACTACTAAAGTTAGTAAGGGAAAAAAAGATTTTACAGTATTTATTTAAATAAATAGTTAATATGGCTTAGTTTTAAAACGCATCCAAGGCATAGTAATAAATTGATCGTGCTTTTGGAAATTGCGCTTATTTGACGCTAGTAACTATGGAGGAAACATTCAATCAATTGGGATAGTGATGGTATCTGCGCTGTGCGCGGAATGCGTCAACATGCCCCCAGCCTACCTTGGATGAGAGAGAACCCCATCCGAGGTTCGGGCGCGGGTTTTACAGCTACAGCAACAGAGGGCTTTAATCGGCTTAATTCTCGGTTATGACACTCGCATCCCCTCGTTTTAATATGGTGGAATTATAGATCTAGGCTTTGACGACAGCTACCAGCTGTCAACTGGGTTAAGAGTGGCGTTAATGGTGACCGCGATGAAAGGCTCGTCACGTCGCTGTTGCTAACAATTTTTTATTGCATAGATGGATGAACGAGCTCACTGCCATTCTGGTTTTACCTAAATGGTTACCTGAACCCATAAAAATCACGGCGTGCATGCCGTTAGCCACCTTGAGACATGAAATCTAAATCTCAATCGTATAGCATAACCTCTATCCTACCACGAACCCACAACTGCTTCGCAACAGAAATGGGCAGGAGTTTTATATTAATAAGTACTAACACCAATACAAAACTATAAATGAAATATAAAGTACAAGTATTTAATAAAAAATAAGAATATAGTATAGTAGAATAATAGAATATTTTGGAATATATGTGGCCTCCGAACGGTGGCCGGCAAGGAGTGGATGAGGAGAGCCGTAGACCGGGCTCAGTGATGTGGATTGGGAGAGGCCTATGTCCAGCAGTGGACGACTGTGGGCTGTTGATAATGGTGATTGATGTAGAATATAGAATAAAAGTAAAAATATAGTAAAAAAACCTTCATCTTAATAATAACATACAATGAAAGACAAACCATCGCTTAAATACGTTGCTGGCATGTGCCTTCGTGAATAATTACCTATCTTGAATACGTGTGTAATTCTACATTTACATCCGCCGGTTACAAGTATGTTTTTAGTTACTGTTGAAACATGTAACGTGTATCAATTTATCAAAATCGCTGACTCACTTCACGACGCTATGGTTATTAATAACAAAAAATATATTTTGTTTTTACGAGAATGGCAAACACATCTACAAAAGCGAAAGGTTCCAATTAATACTACAAAAAAATCAAACGATAATGTCACAATAACCTAGTTCTAGTTCTGTAGAATTATTTATTTTTGAATGTTGCAGTGCAGTCTTAAAATATTGGTACGTAATTAGCACACTGTAAATGATGTCACAGGTAATAAAAATCATAATACCATTAGTGCTGGATTATTGTTGAGAACATACATATTTGCACAAATGTTATTAACTCACCTGCAAACTGCAACTAACGAAGTAGTGTTTGTTAGTTCATTACATGGAATTAATATACATTATAATTGGAGTTTACTCCTTTAGAATCGATTTACATATATAGGCCCGGGGTATGAAAATTATGGGGACCAAAATCGTACTAGCATGTCACACGAAATGCGTTATGCGCCTGATTGGCTCCTGATTGCGTGATGCGTGCGCGCGCCAATCAAAATCGTACTAGCATGTCACACGAAATGCGTTATGCGCCTGATTGGCTCCTGATTGCGTGATGCGTGCGCGCGCCAATCAGGAGCCAACGCGCGGCCGCGTTATCGCAGGTGACGCCGGGCTGCTGCGCCGGCAGTCCGCCACAAAGCCTCGTACTGATCGCGCGTTTATCTCATTATTGTATTTTCATATATTTGTTAGTCGTTTGTTTTGTGTCTCGTTAATTTGTTAATAATCTGTAGTGTATCGTGTTGTCGTAATATAGAACTATTTCTCGTATTGTTTCGTTTAATTTTTTATATCCAGTAAACTCCAGTCGTGCGTCGGAGCGGACACACACACTTTTTTTATTTTATTTTTGATTTCTGCCTCAAGGCGAGGTACTAGTTCAAACCTAATCGTTGGTCGTGAACTTTATTATGTAAATAGTTGCAGCTAACAGCTTGCAATATTTTTGTGTGAGCATTCATGATAAATAAATAAATAAATATTTACTAACAATCACGCCACGTTAACTGGTCCCGTGATAAGTTCGTAAAGAACTTGTGTTACAGGTACCAGATAACGGAAATAAATGTAATATTTTTATTATACACATACATATATTTAATATACATTCATAACCCTGGAAAAGACATTTATATTTATCATACAAATATCTTCCCTTGGCGGGGTTCGAACCCGCGACCCCCTTGTGTAGTGACCATGTCACTTACCACTACACCAGACGGCCGTGATATACTCATATTAATTAAAACTACTTTTATGGTTTAATTTCGAGATTTTTTATTATCATTTTATAGTTGCTGACTTATCGAATACTTTAGTTTTCATGGTCGCGATCTGAATCGAAACGTCGTCGTGAAACTTGTTTTAATTATGTCTAAGACTTACGAAAACAAAAGAAAATACTAGTTTTAAATACTTCTAAAACATCGCAATACTTTATGATAAATCTAAAATCTGTACTAGCTACACACGAAATTACGAACAAATGTAGGTTAAGTTTCTTCCCAGTTCACTATGTAAAGACAGCTTGACAAGACATTACATCAAAGTTGCTCAATTTACGCCAGACCTATGGTGTGCTTTATTTGTAAACACGGACTGATGTAACGTGCATTTGTTGCAACAACATAGAATCTAGTATGTGATGTAATGGTTTATATTTTTGTAATCATGAGAGGTACGATAGAAATTGCTAAAGTATTTTTAAAAGTGATTTTAAACGGGCACATTGAAAAAAGTATGCGCCATAAAATTTACGTTGTAACAAACAATATGGGAAAAGGAATGCGAAGATATTTTTACCAACAAATAAATTATTTATTGATCAAAGAATTACGCGAGGTACCGTGTCAACTTTCACAAGCTCAAAGCTTCTATAGTCATTTAATTACTAGCTGTAATCACAGCTTAACCGATGGTTATAAAACTTTGACATAAAATTCTTCAAGCATTCTCAGCAATTCACTTTTATATAAAATATATAGATTGCTGTTTAAAATGAAATAGGCAAGATAAGTATTCGACAACAGTAATATTGAAATAATAACGATATATTATTACGTCACAGGAAGCCCTCTCAGGTGAGAACCTTCAACAAATATTACCATATTTCTGGGTATCTATAGCCGTTGTAGTCCCATGTTGTTTTTGATGACAACGTCTCAGCGTGTCCACGGCCTGTCTTTGTAGCGCTTGCCTTTCCATGTCCTTCCATGGTCTATCAATATAATTGTTGAGACATACTAAACCTCTGTTGTTGATCTATTTTAATTTTGCAGTACAGATTAGACCACCCATATTCGGTAAATTTATTTTATTTACAAAAAAGCCATCACTATGAAAATTACATAGATTTTTACGAAATTTAATCACGACATTGACCTCAAAATTATTCAATGAATACCTACCTGACCTAGTAGGGTACTGAAGCGTCAACTCAAAAAAACTAAACCTTTTTATGAAATTGACTTAATAATAAACTTTTTAATAAGGTTACACTAAATTGAATTTAAAAAACACGTGATAACTTACAGATTCAATTATATTCAACGACTACCAGTTCCTAAGAAAATAGCTCTGACAAAAATCTACGATACACAGTGAGGTTGTGTTATTTTATTTTATTGGACCAACAACCAATGACATCGCACGCAGTTATATAGGTTATCATTTTTTTTTATTCAAATTCAAAATCATTCATTTCAACTTAGATGTCAGCATAACAAACTTGTTGAATGTCAAAATATAAATAACAATGTTAACTCTACCACCGGTTCCAAGAAAAGCCACAGTCCTGAGAAGAACCGGCGAAACAAACTCAGCGGGCTTTTTTTTGTTTTTTTTTTTCAAATACTTTCTTTTACTATTACTATCTATTTCAATCTATTTCATTTATAATGACACAAACACAAAACAAGCAGTGCTCACGAATAATTGAACACATTGTATAGAAAGGGTTCACAGAGAATTCAAATGCTCGTTAAGCTGCAGATAATGTAGTTTTTTGCGTAATGTCCACACATTATAATATAAATAAGATTTTCTAAAGAAATCATCCACAATTATTGGTAGAATTATAACGTATGTATGTTCTACAAATGCACTACAACAAAATGAAATCAAAGCAGGCAGACATAGCCACCACAGTCTTTCTTTCATTCGTAACATTGAATTTCGACACTTTTTCATACATACATACATACATACATATATATTTATCATCATCATCATCATCATCATCAACAGCCCACAGTCGTCCACTGCTGGACATAGGCCTCTCCCAATCCACACCACTGAGCCCGGTCTGCGGCTCTCCTCATCCACTTCTTGCCGGCCACCGTGCGGAGGTCATCGCACCACCTAGCCGAGGGGCGTCCCACGTTACGTCTTCCGCTGCGCGGTCTCCACTCGAGAACCCGTCTGCTCCAGCGATCGTCAGTCCTACGGCATATATGGCCAGCCCACTGCCACTTCAGCTTGCTGACTCTTTGAGCTATGTCGATGACTTTAGTTCTCTGTCGAATAATCTCATTCCGGATTTTATCCTTCAGAGAAACTCCGAGCATGGNCATACATACATATATATTTATGATAATTTTCAATTCAAACTTTTGGCCAAACAGCTGTATATTTAGCAGCAGCTATACATTTAATAAAAATAAAACATTAAGATTAGCGTCCTCTCTGATTCATTTTAATTAAATATTTACGTAATATAGTCGTATACAAGAATGATTAAAAAAAACCTATCATAAAACTTATTGATTTAATGAAAAACACTTTTATTCAAGTGCCAATAATTCCGATGAACAGGTGACAAAAAACAAGTTATTTTTCTGATCACTGAACCTGACAGTATTCTTAACAAAAGTCAACCCATTACACAGAAAATATAATTTCTTAACTCCAGCTCCGAGACAAGCTATACATAATATCTAAAACATTAGATGACTGTATTCGTTTAAAAACAAACAACTACTAATTTATTCAAGCAGACAGTTGTAGTGTTGCAACTCTTAATATCTATTCTAGTCTTTGTATGATCCTTCGTAGCAAACTCTGGAAAAAGGAAAACTGATGGATCTTTTTTGCAGATGGGGATGGACTACCGTGGTTCGTGAGCACATATTGGTTCCTATTCAACGTGTCTGTGACCATCGCCATCATGATCACTGCACTCTACTGGATACTTATTTATGATCCAGGTAAGGATGTTATTGAAAGTGCCCAATTCATTAAACACTTCTATGATTTAATCTTGCGTTCTATCTGAACATAAAATTATAGAAATAGTTCTGGCTTGAAAATTCTATAATCTCAAATTATGCTTTGGAGTATTTATTTTGGTTTGATTAAATTTCGCACTTACTGTGACTGACCAAGTGATCTTTTATGTCCCTAAATACCTACTTAAAGAACGTAAAAAAGAAACTTGTCNCAATTCATTAAACACTTCTATGATTTAATCTTGCGTTCTATCTGAACATAAAATTATAGAAATAGTTCTGGCTTGAAAATTCTATAATCTCAAATTATGCTTTGGAGTATTTATTTTGGTTTGATTAAATTTCGCACTTACTGTGACTGACCAAGTGATCTTTTATGTCCCTAAATACCTACTTAAAGAACGTAAAAAAAAAACTTGTCTTCGTCAGAACCTGAGGACCCGGAGTCACATGATTTGTGGCTGGATATCGGAACACATGCAGTAAACTCCTTGATTATGTTAGCTGAGCTATTGGCGACGAGGACGCCGATACGATTCCTGCATCTATACCAGCCCTTAGGAATGGGCTTGTGTTACGCGGCCTTCTCGGCCATATACTATGTTGCTGGAGGCACTGTGTAAGTATTAAATTCTAATTTAGATTACAATTATTTTTTATTGTAAAAATCCGACCAGAATGCAGTTATCACGGCGCAACGGGATACTTTATTATACAATAAAATCAGAGAACTCGAAAATATAATTAAAAGTTATTTTGACTAATCGACGACTGATTGGTCAGTCCATTACCATGATGACTATAGATTTATCGACTTTTTTCCCTACCTATTCGCTAGTAGCATAAGGGGATATTCCAGCACGAACCGCGCGAACGGCATTATTTGACAATTCGGAAATGATATAATGAAAACAAATTTATTTTTAATAAGGTCCTAAAATTCTTCGACGAGAAATCCAATCGTCACCACGAAAATTATAAAGTATTCGTAACGTAAAATAACTTTTGATTATAACTACGACTCGCGAACACCAAAGAAAACACTAGAAGTTCGGTGCATCTCCATTGAAATTTCATTATGATATTATAACCAGTCATACTTAATAATGCATATTTAATTAACTTCGACCAAAAAATTAATACAAATAAAAATACAAAAAAATAAAAACATGAATGTTAATGTTTTTATTTTTTTGTAATAGATCTTCTGTTTTGTTAAAATTTTGTATTTAAACTATGTATCTAATACGTATTTACGAATGACATTCACGATGAAAAAAGCTCGTGAAACGTACGTAAAAGCTCGTAAATATGTAATCTGCAATCACGATGTAGGGGTGGGCGGCTTTACAATACGCCTGTGTGTACGCACGAATCGATACCACCGTGTTATCAGTTTTTGCCACGAAGCAATCATGCGTTTCGATTTAAAACTAATCTTGCCGTAATTCAGACTACAACCCACGTTTTCAAGGTGGGCGCAGTTTTAGTATAATCTATATCCACTCTAATAATTTCCGACTACAACGATGAAAAAAAACAATATAATAATATACCAAATATACCAAGTTGTTATACAAAGGTATGACGATCTTTCATAAAAAAATTTTTACAATATATTTCTAGGTTTTTTAAAGTAATATTAAAAACAACACTTTTTTTATGATGTATATTTTAGGAACAGATCGGATCACAGACATAATTCACGCTTTATCAACATAGATATGATTTATCGTCATAATAATACCATCCATTACTTAACGCTTTTTCACAGTTGTAAATAAAAGATAATATTGTTGTGCTTATAATGTATTCATTATAAGCACGACAATAGATACAGTTTATAACAATTCGATGAGTCCTTAATGCGGCTTACCGCTCGAGTTGACTAACACCCTGGCGATGGTCACGGGGGGACCCGAAAAAGTTGAGGTTGCGGGGCACGCTGTCGTAACTCTAGCCCACTGGCACCTAGACGAGTCGGCGCGTCGGTATCTGCGGTCCATGGTACAATTCGCGTTTCTGTCGTCATTGTCGTCGCCGGACATAATGTAAGAAAGAAACCGGGTCGGCAGTGTTTCGCGTTCCGACCCTGTAGGTTTGACCCAGCAGGGTATCCCGGAACACCAGCGGCATCGCCCGGGCGGCCTGACGCAGTACCGTGGAGACCGGTGTCGTTGGTCGCGGCCGATCGCCTCGACGACTCGGACGGGTGGCGCCGCGATTTTGATTATAGTGTTAACCGCGGGAACCCACCTACTCTGCCCGGGCTCTAACCCCGTGCCGAGATCGGACGTCGATTGAGAGTGCAAAAGGAGTAGTTTGTTCGGTAGGACCTTAAAAATATCCTTGGATCTACAGTCTACTCCCAACATCTGCAGTGTCAAGTCCCGCATTCCCCGCGTGCCTCTAGGCGCCGTACAATGAAATTCGACCCCTATCCCAAGACGGTTATACTTCTTTTCCGTATGGAGTCTCAGTTTTATTTATTGCCCTAGTATGCAGACGAGCATACGGCCCACCAGATGGTGAGTGGATACCGTCGCTCATGGACATCAGCAATGCCAGGGGCAAAGCTAAGCCACTGCCTACCGCTGTTAACCGCTGGCAGCCTCGAGGGGCTATTCCAGCTATGCACGGTATGATCGATGAGATCACGGGGCTCAACCTGGAAAACTTGTTAATACTAGCCCTAATCAGTGCTTCTAATCTCTTCTACCACCGGATCGGAGTCGCGACCCACTGAGAAACAGCGTGGGTTAGGTTACAATACGACCGATGTATCTTGGCAAGTCCGTCCTTGTACACGTCGAACCCTTCGTTCAACAAGAACAATACCAATTCGCGCGGGTTAAGGCAATCACGCAATCGGTCGGAAATTATATAAATATACATATAAAGTTTACTGGTTTGATCTTAACACGCGATTTTATTCCTTTGACCTAGATCCATGTGCAATTATTATTTTAAGGAAATTGTACCTCTACCTTAAGGTCCATGATATTTTCGCACGACTGTAAATACCTTAATTCGAAGAATTAGATAATGAATCATACACCTTTCAAACATTGACGTTGAGTAACAATCTGATTCGTAGCGGTATCCACTTTAGGATAATATGTTTCCTCATCATAATAATATTGTTATAGACACACGCAAGTTGTTAGATTTTTGCTATTATAGAAAAATGTCTTTCAAAATTCGTTTTACGAACCTAACAACAATAAACCTCTAACTTTCACATGAGTCGTCTATTATCAAAGGTGGCAATCTGTACATTTGGACAAAAAAAATTTATTGATATGTCAATACAGATTTATTTGAATATAATCGTCTCCTTCAAAGAATACGGTTCAAAACCTGCATTAAATAAAGGTTAATAGTTAACCTGTTATTTATCTAAGATGTCGTTCCGAAGAGTTTTGTGACTGCCAATGGAATACAAAGNGATCCGGTGCAGGAACTCACCGAAGCAACCATGCCCAGTGAGCACCTGCGTGAGCCGGAAAGTGAGGCGTCCTCTGTCACGATTCACCCAGTTCACAAGAACCGGGCGAATCGCCTCGACGGTCCTACGACCAGCCGAAGGATCGGCCAGCCGTCTGGACCATGACTCCAGCACGGACCGCCGAGATTGGGCCCTCCGCGCTTTGACCACACTGGGGCTGGGACGCGCCACGCCCCGGACACGAAGGTCAGCCCGCCACTGATAGTCAGCAGCGAGCGCCTCCGCCTCCAGGACCCAAGGCGGCGTCCCAGCCAGTACACACGCTGCCTCGAAAGAGATGGTGCGATAACCACGGATGATCCTGACCGCGATGGTGCGTTGTGACCGTTGCAGTAGCTTCGCTACTCCCACGGCCAGGGACTGGCCCCACACGGGCGCCCCATATAGGGCCATTGATCGCACCACCCCTGTATAGAGACGGCGCGTCACCTGGTCAGGCCCCCCAACATTGGGAAGGAGCCGGCTTAACGCGCCAGTCACCCCCAACAAACGAGGGACCTGATTCTGAAAGTGAGCACGGAAGGTCCAACGACTGTCTAGAATGAGGTCGAGGTACTTCAACTGCACCCCGACCCCGATACGGACGCCTCCAACCACGATATCAGGCAGACAAGGCATCGACAGGTGGCACTCTCCGGGGCCTGTGGAACCACATGGCCTCGGATTTACTGAGCGCCACGAGCCTGGGTTAGGTTACAATACGACCGATGTATCTTGGCGAGTCCGTCCTTGTACACGTCGAACCCTTCGTTCAACAAGAACAATACCAATTCGCGCGGGTTAAGGCAATCACGCAATCGGTCGGAAATTATATAAATATACATTTAAAGCTTACTGGTTTGATCTTAACACACGATTTTATTCCTTTGTCTTAGATCCATGTGCAATTATTTTTTTAAGGAAATTGTACCTCTACCTTAAGGTCCATGATATTTTCGCACGACTGTAAGTACCTTAATTCGAAGAATTACATAATGAATCATACACCTTTCAAACATTGACGTTGAGTAACAATCTGATTCGTAGCGGTATCCACTTTAGGATAATATGTTTGCTCATCATACTGTTATAGACACACGCAAGTTGTTAGATTTTTGCTATTATAGAAAAATGTCTTTCAAAATTCGTTTTACGAACCTAACAACAATAAACCTCTGACTTTCACATGCAACGTCATTTATGTTTACTTCCATAATGCTTCCATATGATTTTTTTGTAATTATAGACGCTTGTTTCACATTCACTTGGTGGAAAGAATTTTATGGTACCTGCCACTTTATAGTTAAATGAAAAAATATTGTATTCGATTTATTTAATTTGTTGTTTTTCAGAAACGGCTTCCCATATATCTACGAAGTTTTAGATTGGCGACAAGCGAAGCGAGCAGGCGCCATCGTAGGTGGAGCTGCAGCCGGTGTGATCATCATCTACGCGTTTCTGTGGGGGCTCGCTCTCTGTCGGGACAAGATCTCTACCTCACTCATACGCACCACAAGCCACGATTTAGCTCCCGTACCGCCCGATCGACATATGGCATAAGACAACCTATATCCTAACAGAGAACAAATTCGTAAATAATATATTTAGTGTTTTAAAGTGTGGCCATTCCTCTGTAGTTGGTTAAGAGCATAATTATTATGTGTTTCATTTTCTAATGGCAGAGTTTCTGCAAAAGCTCCTTTATGATAATATTATCATTGTTCTGTGTCAACAACACATCGGTGTTTGTTTTAATTTATTAAATAAATTGTCTGAAGGTATTATTGATGTGAAACATCTATAGCCGCACGTAAAACCGATTTCTGGCGTGACGACGCTATATGATGGTATATATATACAGTCTATATGCAGTAGTGTGTACGGTGTGGCGACGCGTCGCCATGCGCAATCGACTGTGCGATTCTCTCTGTATTTTACTTCAAAACAAATAATTTTTTTGTAATATTTTATTTTATCATTATGACATATTTAGTTCCTATCACAATCTGTTCTTTTCTGCATATTACTTTTACAAAATAATGTCGATGTTTCACATCTGCCAGGCGTCCTGTGACGGCTCACACTTTTATTAATATGTACAAGTCCTTATTATTTATTCTATGGAGAAAATTAAAGCTAAATTACTATTCGAACTATAGTCCAGTAACAGAAGCCAGTCGATGTTTAAAATATTCAGAGAACTATTGAATATATTGAGACTATTGGTTGTTACGTTTGTACGAAAGCGAGCATACACTATATGAATAATATTTTAAATACCGAGATAAATGAAGGCTTATAGACATTTAATTTAGAATAATTAAAACGTAATAAATGAAAAAGGAAATTAGACGTCACTTGTGTGCAAACAAAAAAAACCTTCCTACAGTTTTTTTATACTAAAATTGTACAGCGAAGACAGGTTGTCTCTTCCTAATTACACACTATTCATTGTAAAAAATGAGAAACATTGATATTTATCTTTGTAAATATTTGCGAAGTTTCTAAATAGTGTGGTAGGTATTGTAAATAAAAAAACTAAATTAAACTGATTTAAATTGTAATAAAAGCTATTTTAATACACTGAAAAAATAATAATTTAGAATCTACCTTGATTCAAAATATGAGTTCGCGTCTCTGGTCTTCTTGTACTACCAATACTTACCCATCATTGGTCGGCAGTTGGATACTTACTCACTTTATAACCTTTCCACAAATTCCTGTCCTGATTTTCCAATCGGCTTCATTCTACAATATCCTGAGATGAACACTAAGGCCTAAAAACTGGACCATTGGTCAGGTTTAAGAGCCAAAAGACAACTTTCTGTATACGTAATCTAAAGTTTGGTTAACTTCAGGATAATAAAATAGATCGTTCGTGACCTAGAAAATTGTTCAAAACATTCGAAACAAATTAATGTAATAATTAAATAGACGCAGCTTATCCCTACAAAATTTAAATGGAGCTAAAAAAATCGAACTATCTACTGGATGTAGACAGCATTTTGAGCCCACACTAATAGCCCAAGATCCCGCGACAGCCAGACCTTCGTTATTTTATAAAAGCTGAAAGTTTCTCTGTGTATGTCTCCAGCACAGGTAAGAACGACCCCCGACTATAGAGTTTCGATTGTGGTTACTTGGGCAGGTAACAGGCAGTAAAGGTATATAAAATAGTACCTTAAATTCGTTAAAGTATAAAGTTATTTTTTTTTAGTAATTACTCCAGAATATCTTTAGAAATCACGATATCCATTGACGGACACTTTTTACATTTGCTACCCCCTGCCGGACACCCCTAAACTTTAATAAATTTTAAGTATACTTTCGTTAAACTATAAAATTGAATTTTATATATGAGTCGACTATTATCAAAGGCGGCAATCTGACTTTTGGACAATGATTGGTAAATCAGAAAAACGAATTATTGACTTGGTATTCCATCGGCAGTCACAAAACTCTTCGGAACGACATCTTAGATAAATAACAGGTTAACTATTAACCTTTATTTAATGCAGGTTTTGAACCGTATTCTTTGAAGGAGACGATTATATTCAAATAAATCTGTATTGAAATATCAATAAAAATTTTTTGTCCAAATGCACAGATTGCCACCTTTGATAATAGACGACTCATATGTTACTTAGGGACTTATAAAAATATGTTACCCCAATAGCCAAACAGTTTTAATGGTTCTTACATCTTGCCGGACACATTGAGAGCCCGCTGTGCGAGCGCGAGGTAGCAACTGTTCATGCGGGTGTGAGTGAGACAGAGTGCTTAGTCTATTGTGATCTTTTAAGATATCCAATAAAAAATAATTTTATTACGTTCATAGCAATGTTATAGAAAGTAAAAAATGTTATTTTAATATTATAAAGTACAAACAAAATATTATTACATGTCAAAGAAAAATATTTAATCGTTCTTATAATTTTCCTCATTGTCGTCAATATTTTCGTTATCTTCATCGTCGCTACTACAGTTACTCTAGTCTATTGTCACCAATATCCAATACCTTATTCATCAGTTTCTGAAAAAAATTAAGAAAAAGTATACAATTTGAATAATTAAAAAATTATGTGCAATAATTTGTCATAATAATTACATACCTGATTGAGTTTTGAGCGAATCTCCTACATAACTTGGTATTTGTCATCTTTCAATACCCTGCCATTATTATCCGGGTTGATATGAGGTTGGATTTTTTAGATGAGCACTATTCCAAATTTTATATATATGATTTGATCGCAAAAATTGCTGCAATAGCTCGCTTTTACAAGTTGGTAGATTGCTAACGTAAAAAATTCGCAATTTCTTTCGGTCAAAAGCTTCGTTTACATCAGAGACTGTATACGAGTCGATGAATATTTGAAGTCGAGCAGCATCAACATCAATTACATTACGGACATTGTAAACATTGCATATAAATCTGAATGATATTATAGATGTTTTGTTGTTGATCTAAATTTTCAATTGATTCGCTGTTACGGAAATTCTTGAAAGCTTCCTGGTACTTTGGATATTTTTTTAATGTTTTATATGGTTTTAATTTTCCTTTCCTGAAGAATGCACGATAAATCCCAGAAATGACAGCTGATGTGCAGTAAAAGATCACAATAGACTAAGCACTCTGTCTCACTCACACCCGCATTAACAGTTGCTACCTCGCGCTCGCACAGCGGGCTCTCAATGTGTCCGGCAAGATGTAAGAACCATTAAAACTGTCTGGCTATTGGGGTAACATATTTTTATAAGTCCCTAAGTAACATATATAAAATTCAGCTTTTATAGTTTAACGAAAGTATAATTAAAATTTATTAAAGTTTAGGGGTGTCCGGCAGGGGGTAGAAACTGTAAAAAGTGTCCGGCAATGGATATCGTGATTTCTAAAGATATTCTGGAGTAATTACTAAAAAAAAATAACTTTACACTTTAACGAATTTAAGGTACTATTTTATATACCTTTACTGCCTGTTACCTGCCCAAGTAACCACAATCGGAACTCTATAGTCGGGGGTCGTTCTTACCTGTGCTGGAGACATACACAGAGAAACTTTCAGCTTTTATAAAATAACGAAGGTCTGGCTGTCGCGGGCTCTTGCTCTATAATTGATATCGCTTTTTACGTTTCTAGAGATATACAGCCGAGGACAGCCGCTATTCTCATTTCTGATGGAATTGAGACTTCGATGTCACAAGGTCTCATTAACTTTACGATGCTTATGGGCAGGGCCGCGCTGCTCCTGTGTGCGAAGTGTGCGGTGCACACAGGCGCCCAGACAATAAGGGCGCCGCGCCGCCACCGAAATTATTTACGTTACACTTACACAACCATAAATTCTTTGTAGTGGAGTATCCATAGGTAAAATAGCCACAACATATAACTTGTAAATAACAAAACATATAATGCATTTATATTACAAGCATCCCAAATTTTACTTCAAAACTAAGTCAAAATTAACAAATAATTAAAAATATATATTGAAAAATGAAGATTCGTAAAAATAGGAGGCGCTTCATGGGTTCGCACACAGGCGCTGCCGGGGGTCGGCGCGGCCCTGCTTATGGGATCCGGTAACCGACGACATCGGCCCGTCTGTCCATCTTAGCTAAAAATAAGTAAACCAAAGCATGCGATTCCGTTATATAAATGCTTGAGCAGACGTTTGTTACACTGCAGTGCAAAACAATAGAAGCTTTATCAATAAGTCGGACTTTTATATAGTCAATAATCACCGACTTCGTGATATATCCTCTTCTCCAAAATGGCTTTCCTTACGCTCGGAATAACTCTAGAAACCGTGCTTTGTAAGATCATAGGCGTCATCATACCCCTCGTCTACTGCTCAACGCAGGCTTCTTACTGAACCCAATCTTTAGACTCTTCTCACCAATCTTACATTATACTTATATAATGCACGAATACGCATATGGTGCAACAACAATAATTCTATTACTAGAATTTTAGTTTAACAGGAATGTCAATTTCAATAAAACTAGTTTTGAGAAAACATTTATTACGTAATATGTGGCTACATTCGCATTAAACACAAAGCAAACAATTAAAATTATTAAAATTAACAACTACATAATTTTGATATGTGATTTATATTAAATTTGACTTAGTATTGTGTACACTGTGGACGTGCTACACTCTTTTCACTATATCTAACTTTTTTAGCTAAACAAAACGTCAACATCCAAAAACAATAAACAGTATTTTATATAAAAATAATATTAATTCCGAAATACATTTATCATTCAAGTATACAATTTCAACAAAACGATTTCATGATCATAATTTGGACAACAGTCTCAAAAAATAAATCATTTTATAACCTATCTTACATACTTATCCAAAAATATATCTTTACTTAAAAACGTTTATTAATTTCTAGACACGTTTAGCCGTGAAATTATTAACACTGACACCCAATGGGAACACACCTGAAATAAGTAGTGAGGTTGTATATACCAAAAATGTAAGCCGCAATCCAAATTTAAATATTTAGATGTGATTTTCAATCGTGAAATAAAAGTTGAACAAATTTGAAGCAATTGAATAACGTATTTAAATTACATAATTGCTCATATGTTTAACGTGTCTTAATCTTATGCTCGCGGATATTTGCAAAAACGGTTTTCTTTATTATTTTAATATACATATAGAAGTAACGGTAAATTATATTCCTTTGGACGGTAGAATATTATGTCCGCAAGCCGAATAGTGCCGAAAAAATATTTCGATTTCGACTAAACTTTCAATATAATATGTATACCTCTATTTTTATTTTCCCTCAAGTTTCGTTGTCACATCTGTGGTTGTCTCATTGTCTCGTTTTGTTACGTCCGACTTTTTATGTCTTTTGTAAATAAATGTATTATTTACAAAAGATATTATTATTATTATTATTATTATTATTACACCTAAATCAAAAACATCTAATCTTGAAGTAAAAATAGTAGTGCGTGTCATTAAAAATGTCGACGCACTAAGCTATAAGTTGTGCCTAAGTTTAAGAAATATTTAATTAGGCCGTCGTTTATAGTATCACCACTGATGTTTAACACAGAGAATTAGATCCGAGTCGGATAGTGCCAATCAAAATAGATTGCATTTTTTTTGTGGTCTCTACTGAAAATGTTTATATTATGCTCGATTTTGTACCCGATGAATGAAAATGACCGAAATGTGGTGGGACGACGAATTTCAGATTTCGACCTATCAGCGTCATACCGTGAAATTATTATTCGAAATAAAATTTTCTTATTAGTATAAAAAATAGCTAAATTGAATTTTAAATTATTTATTTTGCTATCTAATTTTATTTTATGTCAGCTAATCGAAAATCTTTTATATTTTGCTCTAAGGGATCTCATTTTCGCGAGCCAGTTTTGTTAAGATAATAACTTTACATATCACCACACGGTCACTTCAAAAAGAGGTAGCCATTGAGCATTCACTAAGGAATCGTTCGAAAACAATTATCGTAACACAGGTTACCTATTCAAAAAAAATTCTAATAACGTCACATTCAATTTAAGATCTTATCAATAATTTCACATTACATGCAATCTTATACTGTATCGAGTTACATATAACAAACATTATCACAAACATTCTAAATTAATTTAATTTTTTTAGTAGATCTTACTGTCTAAAAGGCATCTAAGAGATCATAACTTATATTAATTAATAAATTTAAAAATACGACACGTCTCTCTGAAGTTAAACTTTTCAAGATCATTATTATGATATCTACTTGTTTCTCATTTAAATGTTAGAGTTGAATTATCGTTTCGATTTTCTAATGTCCCATGAACTGTTTTAAGTACTGTAAGTAAAAAAATCATTAAAATGGCGAAAATATTGTTACATATTATCTGTTCAAATTCAAATTCAAATTCAATTCAAAATATCTTCGTATTGTTCATTAAGAATCTGTTTTAAAATAAAAATACGCTATTTCTATAGAATTATATTATTTTTATAAGTTAGGTCACTGGTAGCATTTGTTAGATATATTTCTGACTGAATAAAATGGATAAATTTAGTAATATATCATTTAATACACTGTGTGAGATTACGTTTATGTACTTTTAATTTGACGAAAGTTCGACGAAAAGCTCTGTTTTGTTCTTGACAATCCGACCCAAAATTTCAAGAGTATTTTTTTAGCTCTGTGTCAGTTTCAATAAAGGCTTATACTGAGGCAAAGACAGTCGAAGTTCAAACCTTGGAAACACCCATTTCAAGGTTGGATGATACGTAGCAAAAGTGATCTCTGTATGAAGACGTACGCCGAAAATGAACATGCACAATGTTATTACTGATCTACGCTATTATAATAGTCTCCAGTGGCAGCTGAAGTGCGAATGTTTCATGAAAGAGTGTGGTACTGAATCCTTAAATCAGTGTTAATGCATTTGACGTTAAAATGTCATAATATAGCATAATATTCCTATTGTTATCCCTCGTGGGACTCTGAGGGGGGTGGACACGGGCGGAGCCGGGGTAGACGCCGCCGGCGGGTCACCGTGCTTTCTTTATTTAGTTACTTTGAGTCTACTAACATTAGTGTTTTAAATTAGCCACCTATCTTGTAGTTAATATTAAGTTCGTTGTTCACACATCAATAAACTGTACCTTCTACTGTTATAGTTTTAATTCGTTATAAGCGGCGTCCCAACAACTGGTCCTGTATCCAGTGTAAGCAGTGTAACTAAGTATACTTAGTTCATTCCTACGGCAAATGGGCTAGAAGATGCTACCACGCAAATACGTACGGACGCTAACGTGAGTGACATTCAGTACAGCTCGGAAGATGAATCCGCGATACCTTCGCTAGTACTATTTTTTTTGTATTTTTTTGTTGCATAGATAGGTGGACGATCTGGTGTTAAGTGGTTACCGGAGCCCATAGACATCTACAACATAAATGCTGCCACCCGCCTTGAGATATGAGTGCTAAGGTATCAGTAAAATTACAACGGCTGCCCCACCCTTCAAACCGAAACGCATCACTGCTTCACGGCCGAAATAGGCCGAGTGGTGGTACCTACTCGTGCGGACTCACAAAAGGTCCTACCACCAGTAAAATCTTATGTCTGGGGACCAGTTGACCCCATTCCTTGCCGCCTTTGCGTAAACTCAGGCTTAGTAAAGGCTTAGGCAATGTAGGTCGCGCTTCGATGGTCAGAGCCGAGACTCTGAAACCATAGAAGCATTCATCGACGCAGTGGAAATTTTTAAAGAGTGTGCGTCGTTCAGCTATATTACGTAGTCTGCCCATGCTGGACGGCGAGGCTACAATTTGGTGCACAGGGGTCTGGATTGAAGTGTCCTCGTGGCCCGATGCCGTCAAGAGACTTAAGAGTCTGTATGATTTTCCACATCTAGCCTACAAGATTTACAGTAACATATTTGCTGTCGAAAAGAACGAAGAGCTTGCTGATCTATTTTGTACCCTAGGTTACGCCGTACTTGCTCAAGCTCGCAGATACCATCTCGATAGCCAAGGAGAACTTTGAACGTCATCAGGACGCTCGCATGGCATATACTGATTAAAGTCGTTCATCTCCTGAGGAGTATTTAGGTGACTTGGTGTTAATGAGGACCCATGTTCTCAATAACGCCGCAAAGTCAGGGTCGGTACGCGTTAATTGTGACGTTTGACCAGATAAGAGGTCCTCACTTGATCAAAAGGGGGAGCGTATAACGCGCCATCCCTATTGTTATCCTTCGTTTTTTAATTAGTTATTAATAGTCTATAGAGAAGATGTGTTCAATTGTATTTTCGATTGGCTACCTATCTTGTAGTTAATATTAAGTTCGTTGTTGACACATCAATAAACTATATCCTCTACTGTTATATTTTTAATTCGTTATAATAATAAGCGTTAACATTGGTATATATTTTCATTTCAAGTATTCAAATGCACAAAAGCGCGCCAACTTGCCTTTACGAAACATTTTGCTTAAGTAGAATTACTTCCTAGAAAGGTCTAAATCACTGATAAATATTCAGACGCTCTTATGTCGTTTTCACTGTGTACGGTTTTAAGCGTGTTAAAATACTTACTAAATCGAACACATTTCTTCAAAAGTTCTACTGAACTAGAAAATTAAGTACTAGGTATATATATATATATATATTTTTTTAGTACCTACTGTCATTTATAATTTGGCCAAAATCTCAAAAATATTCTATCGAAGAGGATTATATATTTAAGTCATGTAAATTACTCGGCTCGTACGTGTAATAAAATACACGCTTATGTAAGAAAATATTGCACGTCGAACGCCAACGTCACTAGTCCCAGTACGTCGTTTCATTATCAGATTGCAACACTTTCATTATCACAATTACCTAAATAATTTAACCCTTTGACTGCCGTGCAGGTCACCGGTGCCCTACGCGGCACACTCAAGCAATTAAGTCGAATTCTGTTACTAAGGGGCCGGAATATCAATTAGACTCTAGGTCAAACGAATCCGAAAGATACTGAGAATGGATCTATTTCTAAAAGACCTAAAATACTAAAACATACATTAACAAACAAAATGAGGCAAAAAGGCGCTTTAGTAACAGAAATCGACATGATTAGTTCAGTGCGTCGCGTAGGGCCCCGGTGACCTACACGGCAGTCAAAGGGTTAATCAACAATTTCGTACTAAAACCTTATATTATGTAATCGCATAATTTAACGTTTCAGTAGACATTCCAAATTTAAAAATACTTTCGTTTATTTTTTTTAAGTCAAATTCTTATTCCTTATTTGTAATTTGTTACGTTAAAAAATTTCCTACACAAAAACCTCTTTTCTAATAAACGTTTAAACTACATTTACAATATCTATAACATTGATCAAAATTTGCTACCGAAACCGAGCCGTGCGACATCTATCGGCTATCTGAAGTAAGTCATCAACTACGGATGTTTTTTCAATATTTCTTAACTCAATGCAAAATATGTCAGTTTTACTACGCAATAAATATAAACGAATACACATTCCTAATTAAATTCGAAAATTTACAAATATGTTTTTAACGTCATTTTGACTAAAAAAATATTAGGTAATTGCTCGCATTAAAACTGACATACCGTAGATTGGGGGGAATCGGGACCCTTTCCAAATCCAACACAAATTTTCAATGGTTTTTTTATTTGAAATTGAGATTAAAATGGTTCCGGAGGCTTAAATTTACTAACTAGCTTGACCAGATTCATCTTAGCTTTGGAGTGAATCAGGTTATATATGGGAACAATTAGAGGTTTTCGATAGGGCTAGCACTATTTAGTTGTTAGGTAGGTACCTAACTTTAGGTAATTAACTTTTTAATATCTTTAATGAGTTACAAAACTTTGATGACTAAATTAAACTATTTAATATTCTTAAACACTAAATAAAACTCATTTTCAGTTCAACAAAGTTGTTAAATCTAACAACTCAACAAAAGTATTGTGACATCCCAGATTTGCCCCTATGCTAAGTCTAGTCTTCCCCCCCCCCCCCATCTACTGTATCATCTTAGTGACTTACCACAGATAAGAGATAGATCGGACAGTGTAAATGGCCGTTCGGTCAGTCGAGACGATTTAAATCTTAAAACTAATAAAATGTTTGACTGCCTTGAAATCGGCTTACGTACAATACATTGTGCTTAGGAGAGATCTTCGCCATTCATTAGGAATACCCTGAACGATGATTCGTCCACGGCGTCAGCGTACATCAGTTCCTCCTGTCAAAACAATAATAAAAAAAATAATTAAAATCTTCTCTTACGTGCGAATTAAATATTATACAAACCCCAAAATTAAGAATACATTTGAAAATAGTTCAATAAACTCCCCACTGTCGGCGCATAAAACATTATTTTTCATAAATATTAATGACATATTTTTATTTTAACTTTTATCGACTGTTCGAACGTTGTAATAATGCACAAACAGACACCACGTTTATTTCAATACATACAGGCAATACAGGTAACAACCGCTTCCAAAGAATAAGAAAGTATTATAAAAATCTGTTCGCCCAGAAAAAAGTTCTGATATAACACACATAAACAAAAATCGAATTAATAACCTCTTGCTTTTTTGAGGTCTGTTAAAAAAAATTTGAATTGACTCGCGCGCCATTTTTACTTAGTGTGATTGACAAGGAGGATACGGTTTAGTCCACACGCAATCACGTTTCCTTTTGAGTTAAATATCAGAAAATAAGCGGAGAAAATTGCATCGGGCGGCTGGGAATCGCAACGATACGATTACTATATATTTCTTCTGAATAACTAGCCAGATCTTTTTCATTGTAGTTTGTTTGACCTCTGGCATTATTTTGTTTTAATCTATACTAATATTTTAAAGAAGAGAAGATTTGTTTGTTTGTTTGTATTGAATAGGCTCCGAAACTACTGAACCGATTCGAAAAATTCTTTCACTGTTTGGAAGCTACACTATTCCCGAGTGGCATAGACGATAAACTTTTTTTGAAAAAAATTAGGGATCCTTACTAAAACTCCAATACTGTAACCCAAGGTATTAAAAATAACCTAAAATATTATTTACATCGCGTACCCTGCGAATACTATTGATGATAGAATAAAATAATGTACTACGACTTTGTAGAACACATTTTTATTTACAAAAAGCGTCGCGACAGCATATGTCTAACTATTACAGTTATGCCGCAATAAGTGTTCTTTTATTTAAAAAAAATAAAACAACGTCAAATAACGTTGAAATTTTTGTTCTTTAACAAAAAAATTTTTTTTAACAAAAATTTCAATCTGTAAGACGCTTGTAAAAAAATAAAAAAATACTAGCCTGCAGGAGATCGATGGTCGGGTGAGCGTCTATGAGATCCATTCCGGAGCCCGCCTCATCAGCGGCGCGGCTCGACAGTTCCCTGCTTACTATAAACCTAAGTGAAACAACATAATACCCACTTTTTAATACCACTATTATGTTTTTGTATTCCACTGTAGAGCGTGTATATTAAACTGGAGTGACCAAGCGTCCGAGTATCTGGACAAGAGACTGAGCCACGCACTTCCCTGTGCCACTGACCGACATAAGTGGCTACTAATTACAACAAAAAAGGTCACAGGCGGGCGCATCACGATGCTAAGCAATGAGCGGTCGACTGAAGGAGGAGTCCTCCAGTACCTTAGTAGTCCTTGTACCCTGAATTATGCCAAATAAGGCTAATATGTGTGTTGTTTGCGTGGAGCGATGGACGTGTTGAGAGTTGCCGCAATTTACTATTTCCTAAATGCTTTTTACCAGTACTTGTTGTACAAGTAAAAACTTACTAAAAGACCGGATAGAAAACGCTGATGGATGATTAAGGAGGAGTAGAGCGTGACAAAAAGGCTCTGTATAGATTCTTTAAAACTCAGTTGCAGTTATAACACGTGAATACTATTGACCAGAAAAAATCAGGGCACTCAATAACTAAAACGACAAAGTTGAAAATGGCCGCGCCATTTTAGTCTCCAGGGAACGCGGCCTGTCTGTTACTGTTCTTTCTCATTAAAACGACAAGTTTTTGTGCATAGATTTTTAAACTAAAATATTCTTTTCCGTTGACGTTAGTTAAGCTTTTAATTTTATATGCTGTTTTACGTCATTTTTAGGGAACACTAGTATAACACTCTGTATACAATGTAGGATATAAATATGTACATACTTCTAAAGAAAAACCTTTATCATTATATATGTACTGTTACTATTAAAACCACCAATAACATCATATTTGAATTTGGAACCTGTCAGTATCATAATACCATTCAGTTATTTTAGCGCCACTCTGTTATTTTTTTTTTTTTTTACCTTTATAGTCATGCCTTGAAGTCAAGGAAAAGTCTTATATTCTGTAATATTATGAAAAATGATACAAAGGGAAATTAGATGTAGTTGATTAATTTGAGAGTTAATCAACAGGAATTAAATGCGTAATAATTTGCTAAGCATTAGTGGAAATAACTATAACAACCAGATTTCCGATTTATAAAAAAAGGGTTTTCCTTGCAACAATATTTATGGCAAGGCTGCCTAAACAAAGTAATAAGTAATGTAGAACGTAAATATACTTACTCGCTGTCCTCGTTAATCAGTACATTTCCGTGCAGGAATAGATCACTACGGACCGTGTAGATATTGCTTTCAGAGTTCTCCGACTGCTCAGTCTGTAAACAAAAAGTGATGTTAGTAAATTTATTTATTTCAGTATTTTTCTATTAGTTATTAAAGTTCATTTGCACTTCATAGACCACTTTATTTTTATTTTTATCTCAAAAAGTAATATTTACATGTGGATTACCATATCTATATATTAATACGTGAAGCAAAAACTTTGTATCCCTTTTTACGAAAATTGCGCGGACGCAGAAGTAAAAAAATTCCCACATTTATAGAGAATATAGAGAAGGAGTGTAGAATACTAATACTTTTTTAAATTATGCATTAATAATACATTAAATCAATAAAAAAAACATTACACTACCATGTATTTGACACACACATGCATACTATTTGTTTATTGTCAAATTTTTCTTATTGTTATAGTCTGTGGTCAAATTGAGAATATCGTTTTGTCTTTATTAATATTTGTCTATCTTGGCGAAATCTGTGATTAAAGAATTATAATAATAATCTTTGACAACAGAATCATAATACTGTTTAAACTTATAATATCAATTAATTATAGTGGAATGTCGACTACCGGGGACCACTAGTTTTTATTATAATGTTGTTAAAAACATACGTTCTTCGGGCCTTTTTTTAAAACACAAGTAATATCACCTGTATTCATGAAGGACTTTACCATCATAAATAGCTAGCGACTACAGTTTTAGAGATTACATTTTCAATTAATTACACATCACTTTTCATAGTAAATTCAACATGGTGTACTAACCCTAGCGTCTTCTTCTAAGACATAAGCAGCGTGTCTGGGAAGCGGCCAGGTGCAGTGCGTTCTAGCGGCATGCCATTCTTCAGATTCCTCCTCCGGCGCCGTTTCCACTTCAACTTCTGCTTCCGCTTCCGCTTCTGCTTCAAGTTCCGTTTCTACTTCGGCGGCAACAGTTTCCGAAGTGAGCGTCTCCACGGCCGCAGGCGATTCGTTATTTTCCGTTTCTGGTATAAGGCTCACCTAATTATTCGAACATGTTTATATGTTGTAAGGTTTTATTGTTTATGTAAAATCCATAATTAATAATAAACTCACCACAAATGCGCTTTGACGAGGCTTCGTGGCCACCGCAGTCTGTTTCGTCGTTTCGGCTCGTGCTATAACTGCGTCCTGTCCGTGGACTTCTTTTAAATGGAGACACAAGGAGCTCGCGTCGGAAAAGGTTTCTTTGCAATCTGCAGATCAATTAATTACTTATTTGTACGTTTTCATTATACAATCAAATTAACAATTTTTTTTATTTATTGCTTAGATGAGTGGACGAGCTCACAGCCCACCTGGTGTTAAGTGGTTACTGGCACGCATAGACATCTGCGACGTAAATGCGCCACCCACCTTGAGATATAAGTTTTAAGGTCTCAAGTATAGTTACAACGGCTGCCCCACCCTTCAAACCGAAACGCATTACTGCTTCACGGCAGAAATAGATTGGGTGGTGGTACCTACCCGTGCGGACTCACAAGAGGTCCCACCACCAGTGAGTTCCTTTTTAAAAAAAAAAAAAAAATGAAGTGTGATAAAGCGAATTGTTGTCTGTCGTAGCCTAAAAAGACGTCCGCTGTACTCAGTTCAGTTCAAGTGACGCAACTACGTCGGTGTTCGGATCCCGCGGGCTGGTATCATTTGTTCCATACGTGCCAAGCAAGCAGGTGTTACTAACGAGGACTTTTTGGTGGGAATGCGAGGAGTTATGTACTGTGATTTATTTTATTTTGTCTATTTAATGTTTCTTCGGGTTTAAATATGTAATAACGGTGGTTTATTAACTGTTTATTATCTGTGAAAGTACACAAATGTAGGAAAATGAAACTAAGCCGCTGGACGTAACTTCTCGGGATCCTCCAAAAGGTCCGCTGTAAAAATCTCAGTAAATGACCACCATTTTACTGAGATTATATTTCATCCCATATCATCTCATCTCATTTCAAAGGTGGGCGAGCAGGCTCAGCCGGAAGGGGTGGGATTTGCTAACAGCTGCCCGAGCGCCTCCGATGGAGACCTAACAACTCAAGAGCAAATGCTTCGTGAATGAATCTACAACCGGATCGGAAACGCGACCCATTGAGAAGATCTGGCGAGAAACTCAGTGGGCTAGAATACATAGTAAGCTTATTGAAGAACACGAAAGTCGCACAAGTGTATGCGGGGTGGCCCGTGTAAGCTTAGCGCAACGTACGTGCGTGCACGCAGCAGAGCGCGTGCGGGTGGCAGCGGACGGCGTGGTCGCGCAGGTGGTCTCGGCGCAGGAAGGCTCGTCCGCATCGCACACACGCGTGCTTCCGCTCGCCGGTGTGGCCGCGGACGTGCCGCTCTAGCTTACTCGCCGATCGAAACGACCATCCGCAGTTCTAAAACATAAATGATTACGTTCAACTATTGGGGGGGGGGGGGGGGTAGAGATCAAGCTAAATCTTTCCAAATTTCACTTAGAGGGAAAGGGGGGTCTTGGCAAATATCACGTAATTATATTTCTCGCAGAAAACGGTGTAAAACGGTGTGGTGAAAAACATTTCGATACATTGGTTCCAGTAGTCACTCTTGAGGCCGTGCACGAGTTTCCATGGATTGAATTACAATAAATCTTTTCTTAATTTTTGTTTGTTATTCATTATTTAATTTTATGATTGTGATTTTAAATTACAATAATATTCACAATGACTAGTTTTTGCTGGTATTCAAAAAGTGTAATATAGCAATTTTTTTGATATCTCACCCAGGGGGGAGAGGGGTCAAAAAATTCTCAAAAACGCCTCACGTAATTAATGGACGCCCCCCAATACCGTCATTCATCTAAAAACGTTATCGCAAATAATATCTATATGATTAGAGCTGTTTAATTCGAACGAAAAAGACAATGTTATAAATGACTATAAGCTGATACCATACCGGGTGAGTGCAATGGTAGGGACGGTCGCCAGTGTGCGCCCGCAGATGTTCCCGCAGGCGACACGGCTGGCGGAACTCGCGCCCGCAGCCCGCCCACGCGCACACCAGCGCGCCGCGCCCGCACCGCGAGCCGGCGTGCGCGCGCAGACCCACCGACCAGAAGAAACGACGACCGCACACCTCACAACTGCCAAGTGTCAAATGCAACAGTGTAGTTCTCTAGCGAAATTAGGTGCACATACCTAGCAAAGTGTGGGGATATAACGAACGAAAGGGAAGATCTTCCACCGACCGGGTGATTTTGTTCGGTAGACCGACGGTCCGAATGGATTTTTTTTTCTACCTAAGCTGAGAGCCTTGAGAGGCTATATCAGCGTAGTCTTAACTAGTAGGTGAGTTCACGGGGCTCAAACCTGATGACGTTGCTAACACGAACCCTAGCAAGAGCCGTGCTTCGCAGAATCTACCACCGGATCGGAAACGCGACCCACTGAGAAGATCCGGCGAAAAACTCAGTGGGCTGTGTCTGAGGGTTAATTTACTCGTCGAGCCCTTCGTCGCAAGTGACGGGTTCGACGAGAACGGCCGAATGGATTGTTCGGAACTTGTATATAACAAGCTTATTGAAAATGTCGTAAGCAAGATTCAGGCATCTGTCAAATATCTTGCGTTGTATGATGGCTACCCGCCACACAAAGTTTTCGTAAGTTTAAATTTTAATTTATACTGCACTTCATGATTAAATGAATTCACGGCCCATTAAAGAACTCAAATGATCACCGGAGCCCATCATAACGTGTACGTCAACACCAATCTTGAAACATGAGGTCGAAGTTGTTAACGTCCTGTTGTATAACATTTACCCCTCTCTTCAAATTTAAAACTTCGTAGCGAAAATAAGAAGAGATTATATACACCCGGACGGGGCTCACAATACGTACTACCGTCACTACTTACAAAAATTTATAGGTAATCCTGGTTCTTAATTTTTGATTCTTTATACAGAGTAAAAAAAAAGAACGCCATAGTAATATTTTATGAAAAAAAAAAACACTTTCCCACAAAATTTACATTTAAGTCTACTTAAAGTTAGTTGTCTTTTCTGATTCTAGTAAGTAATGTGGCAACACACTCCACACCAAAATAATTATGAACTTAGTGTCACAGTCAGCATACATCTTCTTCACAAAATCAAAATTTCTGTAAGAGTAAATTTGCTCATTCAATTGTTTCAAACCTGTATGGAGCATCTTCAGGCTGGTGATCTTCGTTTAAATGTTTTAATAAGCTTTCTCGGGACGCAAACATTTGCCCGCATCTCTCTATGCCATCTTCCCTGACCTTCTTAACTGGACACTCAACGCTGATATGAGCCGACCATCTTGTTTGCTTGTTATGGGTATTTTTGTGTTTCATTAATTTAGCTGCACTCCAGAATCCCTTATTACAGTTTTGTATATCACACTACAAAAAATATTACGAAAGGGTCTCAATTTAGAAATGATATTTACCATAATTATTAATTAACTAATTAACTATTTACCTTAAATTTAATAGCCTGACTAGTAAACGATTCAGGGGACTGTGCTATTGAAACAATACTAGAAGTTGTGCTCTCCGCTGTTTGTATTTGTTGTTGATCCATGACAAAAGCAGTTGACACAACTGTTCCCATGAGGTCTGCATTCGTACCCGCGCAGTTTAACTGAGATCCATTATCTACTAAAAACAGTTTCATGCAATTATTTTTACTGAAGAACTATACTAACTTGTATTATATTATGTAGTAGCTGAGAGCATTCATTATTCAAATCCAAAGTAATTTTTTTTATGATTATTGTTCCTATTACTAAATGACAAGATAGTAATTATATGGCTTACATGTGTTTAAAACTATTCCTTTATTACTACTTATCAAATCAAGGCACCAATCTTCCTTCACCTGTTCGTTGCTTAGGGTGAATGTTGTGTTCTGAAAACATTAATTTGAAATGAAAATGAATTAGAGAGTTATTACAATAATTGCTTAGTTACATATAAATATAAAGGAAATAAAAGTAATCAAAGAGATCAAGACAACATTCTATAGTTAGAATTCTATAGTTAGACTGCCCAAGACTGATGTAAATGGCAGGATTTGATTCGAGCCCCACACCCCAGTAGAGGGTAATAGGAAAGAAAAGGAAAGAAGAAGAATTCTATATGTTAACAATCTCTGTCTACACCCAAAGGGGTCTATTATAGAGATCAGTTTGACCCGTGTCAAAAAGCAGTATTGTGATATTTCCAAGCAAAAAAAATATCCCTATTTTCGAAATCTTGTATTAAAAATCTATTCCAATGAATGATAAATAAAATTTTCTTGGAAGTCTTCCTGCGTAAATGTGAGGAAGACCACAAACATTTCAAATCTCTGGTTCGAAATGTGAGAAGGTCATTCGAAGCTACTCTCCTATGCTGTTTTCTACAGCCATGTGGACTAATTATTAAGATTTGATTCACAATTGCAGTATCAAGTTAAAATCACGTGCCAGAATTTATGCCAAGGATTGAAAACAATTATTTGAAAATGAATTGTAAGGTTTAATACTATAATATTTGAATACTATAATATATTTAATTAATATCATAGTTGTGTTAGAATTCATCTTTTTATTTAATTTAGCAATGTCTGAATATGGATCTTTGGTCTCTTTTATTTACTGTCAATAATTAATTTCACCTTTTATAACTTTATGTTGTTTATATTTTTATACGTCATAAATATGATTTACATAATTATTATTTAAGTTTAAATGATGTTCAGAATTAAAATCCATGAAAATACCTATATTCAGTTTCTTTGAAAAATAAGCAGCTTACAAACATTTATTTAGGTATTTAAATAATTATTTAACTGTAAGCACAAAAGTAAGCTGGCGGACTTAATGACTAAGCCATTCTGTACCAGTTAACCAGGGTGGTGTAGTCCTGTAGTAAGTCCATTACTTTTTGAGAGTAAGAAAAAAAAAATGTATTATACACATATATACACCTGATGAATGATGATGTTTACTGTACTTTGTCAATTAGGAGGGAGTTGGGCATGTCAGTATAGAGTATAGAGTGAAGTGTAGTGAGAGCATGTAGATTGTGACACTGTCATAAAGGCAGAAATTTTTTTTGGGAGCAGTAAGTAGACAATTGGCCATACTTGCGAAGGTTAAAAAGAAATCCAAATGCAATTCTGAAAAAAGGATTCGAGTTTGTATAAATAGGTCTGCATTCAGGTCGAAATAGCACTCGTAGCCATTGTCAATTATAGGAATGATTAAAGCATGTACAAACAAGCATAGTCTTTATCTTGAAAGGATGAAATTGTGTACTGCCATACAACAGGTTTTCAAGAATATGATTTTGTTAATTTAGTAGTATTCTTTTTAATGTCTTAAATGTATAAAGAAGCTTTTTCCTTTCTGTGCTAGCTGGTAACGTGTGGGAAATAAAATTATAAAACTTACGTGTTTGTCAGCTCCATTCAAAAATGAATCTATATTTATTCCATTATGTCCAATGTCTGTAAAAAATATTGATATTTATTTATGGTATAGGTACAAATAAATTAATATCTCTCAACTTTACAACTATATAAAAACCAATTTTTGCTTAAATTAAATTACTGTCGATATTAAAAATTGTTTCATTGTTTATTTAAGAGCTTGTTTTTAATAACAATAAGATAATATTATGTAACATGCAGTAATTAAAATTCACAAGAAAAATAGTTTTCTATATTATTGCATATTAGGCATATTTCATTAGACATATTTCATTTCATCATTATGGCCTAAAAGATGATACACCTGGTGTTTTCATATTTAGTGATGGGTCTGTGCCTATATTCGAATCCCGCAGGCAAGTGCTAATACTACTCAAATGATAAGGCAACCATAGTACTGTAAATATTGAGATTTAAAACTCAGGTCTCAAGGTGGATAGCAATATTTACAGTGTTGTCTATAGGCACCTGTGGCCACTTAACACTAAGTAAGATCATCCACCCAACTGAAACAAACATAGCTTATTAGCAAATACATGGCTTATTAGCAATACATAGCTTATCGTAAGTTTATTCTGAAAAATTAAGGTTTTGATAGGTACCTCTAACCACTTAATAAATCTAATTTCTTAATGGAAGGCCTGTATTACAGTAAGCATCTTCCTGCTGATGATAATGTGGTCATATGCATCATGTGTCATATTTTATGAAGCATGCAAGATTGTTACTTACTGTTAAATTCTATGTTTGTGTCAGATAGACACACTATACTGGATGATTCAATTTCTAATTGCTGTGCCTGAGATTGCTCACTCCTTGAGACATCTTGATTTATATATTTTTTTGCACTTTCATGTTTGGGAGTGTAGGATACTTTACACAGTAATTGCTTCGGTTGTGATTCTAATTTTCTTTTGGACACATCCTTCAAGACGTCTTTCCAGGGCAAGGAGTTCACAGGCTCTTTTGCTCCGATTACATTCGTTTTGAGTAATTGTGGTTTAATTGTAGATTTCTTCCTGAGAATGTTTGGTTTTTGAATACTTTTTTTAATTGAGTTTTGTTCATTTGCAGTTATCAAAGTCTTCATCTTCATCATACATTTAATTAATACCTAGCCTAGCCTGTCGAATATCAGACAAATTCAGTTAATGAAGAAAAAATGAAATTAGGTGAAAATCTTACTCTCAGGCTTGAATATGAATATAAAAGATTTACTTATTAGTTGTTTTGGGAAATAAAAAAAATTCCTGACATATCTGTCTTTTTCAGAGATATTTTTATTAACCGTACCTAATCAATTTCGACAAAAATAACCAAACAAACAAACTATAAATTTATAAATAAAGCGATAACACCTTACAATTTACACGTTATTAACAAATCACTGCTTAAAATTGTCCATTATTTGAGAAATTTATCCAGTAACATATTACGTGGTTTAAGTAGAGATTTTTACATAAAAATTAGAAATAAAGTATTTACCTCGAGGACAATTGCCTACGCGGTTTATATTGTAAAAAAATCGATGATAAAATGGTAATCATTTGCGGTAGGGATGCCGCAATAGTTTTAATTCGATATTTTGATCGATTTTTAATGTTTGAATTCTTAGATTTACGTACCTATGGGTACAGGAAAACATTCCTTTTTCTTTCAACAACAACAATTTATAAACATTTATGGATCTTAGTTGATTTGTTAAATATAATGACTTGACATTCATTTAACAATATGAAATTGTTGTGATAAATTAAGCCACATAAACAAGATTTTTGAAGGTAAATTATCTGTTTCAGATCCCGCCGAATTTACGATATTTCTAATGACAATAATTAATGAAATAATAATAATAATAAGGCTAACTGTAGGTAATTTAATGGTTTTTACCAATACATTAAGAATAAAATCTCGATATTCAAGGATGAAATATCGATTCATTACTACAAATTGGGTTTTTTCATCTGAAAAATCGATTCTTCGATTAATTAATCTCAAATTTTTATCCCTACACCAAATCTTTAAACTTTAACTCTTATTACCTAATCTGTGACATAAGTTTATTATCTATGATGGACTTTTTGGCGGGAACGCGAGGAGTGAAGTTGTATTATTTGTTTTATTTTGTCTATTTAGTGTTTCTTCAGGTTGAAATGTGTAATAACGGTGGTTTATGGACTGTTTTGTGTCTGTGAAAGTGCACAAATGTGGGAAAATCAAACAAAGCCGCTGAACGTAACTTCTAGGGATCATCCAAAAAGTCCACTAAAAAGGTCTCAGTAAATAACCACCATTTGACTGAGATTATATTTCATCCCATATCATTTCACTTCATTTCATGCCATATTTCATATTAATCAACTTCATTTCATTTCACTTCATATTAACTTTTTTCATAAACTTATGAATATAAATTAAAATAGGACTTGACTTAAAGGTCTTAGTTACCAGGTCCTAAAATCCTTTAAAAAAACTAACTGATAGCGGTGAAGTTGAACTAATAGATAAAAGTAATCTGTGGCAGTGAATTTGTGAGTGCAAAACTCTGCAATGTGTTCCTAAGTTAAAATTTTAAGAATGGATTTGAAAACTTTAGCTAATGAAATTGAAGATGTATTAGACCCCGCTTCGATGGATAAAGTTTTAATGTACTATAAAGATGTACAAGAAGAAGACGAAGAATTTATGCAAGTATGCACTTTTTTTAATAGCCACAGAAAAGTGAGAAAATTATAGGTACCAGTAATTTTTGAAATACTGTACCATTGTGGTACAGACCCTGTAATAGGTTTTGAGAATGATCAATGCTCCACTGAATCGTTTATTCTAAATCCTAAAGCACAGGTATTACAATAATTAAAAAGAAGAAATGTATTTTATTCTAACCCAATCTAATTTATACATAAGTACAACAGTATATCCAGGATCATGATGTACTTTTATAGCTGGGCTAGTAAGAACATTGGTGCCTGAAAAACATATAATACACCTGATTCTTTAAAAAAATTACATTAACTAAATTAATTATTATAATATATAAAATATATAAAATCATTATAAATTTATCTTGTTATTAGATATAACTTAATAAATGCTGTTTAATGGAAAAATAGTAGTTGGTTATATCACAGAGCATCTAATATAATTCGCTAATAAAATTCTTTGGTTTGTCTGGTGTTAATGATTTTAATTATGTTGTCATTTAATTTTGTTTTAATAGAATGCTCAAATTTGTTTTTAATCGATTGCAGATATTATTTGAAAACTTGAGGAATGAAACTGTATATTGGTTACAACCATGGTATCAATTATCAGGATGTCTCACAAGACGTCTTGATGAAACAGATGAAAAAAATGAAGAAAAATACCGCTCTGATCCAATTTGTAAAGAAGAGGACGAAAAAATAAATAAAAATTGGCGGAAGTTAATAAAGGTATAATGCAAAACACTCACAATTTTAAATTACTTTTGGACTATTTTTAATCAAAGATGGACTAGTGATCCAATACACTACAATGCATTGATCACACTGCATTTTTAAGACAAAAAGTTACAAATGTTAATGTATTTGTAACATTTCTGTCAACCAATACCTTTGTAATTTTATATTATTACCAATGACAATAAACACATAGTCCGCTTGTCAGAGGTACCGCTAAGCATACTGCATACTGCTAAGAAGCAAGCTTTGACCAAGCATAGCAGTTTCAGAGAACTGAAGTCACTCTGTAGAACTATAGATTCCAAATAATCTGTGAGCTTTGGGAGTGTTGCATGTTACATTATAATGTTACAATTACAGAAATATGGATTACCTGACAAACTTATTAGTTTTGCGCGTTGGAAAAATAAAGAAAGATCTAAGAACCCGAATAGTAATGAGGAAAGGGTAAGACGATTTGTTGCATCTTACTTAGCTCGAGGTCTTGAAAGAACTGTACAGCAAGTTTTCAAATATATAATAAGCCATTTAATTGAACCATCAAAAAGACATTATACAGCTGAAGAGGAAAAAATAATGGAAGTGTGTTTCACACATCAACCTCACAATGCAGTCATTTATTTATCTGCTATACTTGGTAGAGAGCCTAGGGGTATTTATAAAAGACTGCATTATTTATTTAAAGGTATTATTCTTACATTGAAATTTTATGTCTTTGAAGTAATAAACTAGTATTTGATTATAATACAAATTTGTAGGTTGTAAAGAAACAAAGCGTTTAAAGTGGACCATTCCACTAGCCACAAAATTGGTAAAATCGATTATGATGCATACTGGATTACCCTTGGAAGAATTGAAATACCAGACATTTGATAAATCTGTTTGGTTGAAAGTTCAAGAAGACATGAATCAAAATTACATTGCCTTATCAAAGTTTTGGTACACATATTTACATGTACAGATCTTTGCAAATTATGATGTGAAATTAAATAAGCTGAAGAAAAAAGTTTATAGGGTGTAAGTTTTTTTTACTATATTTAAATAATGTTTCTAATGTGTCCTAACATCATGGCATAGGGTAGAACATGATAGTTCATGCACTAAAATATCTGGAGCCAGATAGCAACTTTTCTCCAATGTAAAGAACTTATTATTTATATTAATCGGTAATTAAAGAGATCAGTACAGTTGTCTTGTCTATTTCTGCCACCATAACAGATTTATAATGTTCCAGTTTGAGAAATAGAAAAACTGAAAGCCCTTTTTTCCCATTATGAAAAACATTTGGTATAAACGCTATGTGGGCACAAGATCATAATGTGGAAAATAATTCATTTGTACCTCGCATTTTTATATTGAATAATTGTGTTTCGTCTCTGGTTGTTTTAATAATCTATCTGTCTATCTTCTTCTATGTATATAAAAATGAATTGATGTTCGTTTGTCTCGCTAAAACTCCTCGAGAACGGCTGGACTGATTTGGCTAATTTTCGTCTTGAATTATTTGTGGAAGTCCAGAGAAGGTTTAAAATGTAGATAAATATGAAACTGCTCGGAATTAAATAAAAATAACAATTTTGTTTTTCCTTTGATGTGCCCCCCGTCGGACGGATTCCTTTTGTTTGTTTTAAGTTTATTTTATACAAAAGCTTAGGTCTTTTATTTATCGATTAGGCACTACGAAGTCGCCGGGTCGGCTAGTAGATAATAAATTATTCGAGTTTTATGAAAATCAAAACTGTCAGTACTGATTTGTTCACTTCCAAAAAATTATAGTAACATCCTTTATATGAAAGCTGAAAATTAACGTAAGATTTCCCTTTTATTTTCAGATTGCGAGAGTCACATTACCAAGTGTGGACTGACATTAGGTGGAAAGATGTTTTGAAACATTTTCCAGACGGTTTTACGCATTTATTTTTATATAAAATATGCTCAACGACGTTTGTGAAACACCCCAATTATTTAAAAATACCCATTGAAAAAATTATAGAGATAGGTTTAAAAAAAGCAAAAATGATCCGATTTAACAACAGACGACTGAAAACTTTGAAATTAGGTGACGACGGGAATCTAGAAAGAGTGTCATATCATTTAACTAGAAAAAAAGGAATGATTAAAAATCCTAAATGATTCCAGTTGTTTTCTTGATAGTCCATTTTTCTACTATTAGATTCAGTTCAAAATATAGGACAATGGCATTTTCTTATTACGATTTTATACATACAGATGACTAACTGATTTTAAGTTTATGTAGATAGACCACTTTGTCCATCTCAGAAACCAGGTCCGTCTTATTGAAATTCATAATGCATGAACAGACACCGACCGCATTGTTAATAGTCATTGCATTTTATGTAAGTATAGGTATTAAGTTAGTGCATTAAATTGAATTACTTTATTATACCTACCTACTTGTAAATAATTAATAGAAAAAAAAATGTTACTTTTATTAATTTATTTGATTTTTTAATATTTAACAAACGAATATGTACATATAAATATTACATAATTAAAGCACCAATTGGAAAGGTCCGTTTATATCCACTTGTTCGACTTTCCGAGGGATGATTATGAAAATAAACTTGGATTAGAAAAACTTGTATATTCAATAAAAAATCAATAATCTACGGATACAGTGTCACTTATGACAAGGGTATCATGACAACGGATTTGCGTATTACAGCGCTCTCTAGTGACGGTTTTAGGAGTTGGAAAAAACAGGTTGAACACCACTACAGACATTGAGCGTGTCAGACAAAATAATATTCATACAGTTTCTACTATCGTATTTATTTCTATCGTTACACGACCGCGCAGACACCGGTAGTTTTCCAATTACAGAGCATAATGCGACTCAGTGACGCACAATGCCGAATTATGCTGAAGCTTAATTAGAACGTGAATTAGTTTTCAAATGCATCAGCAGAGTGCGCTAAGTTAGCACAGTTTTAATTAACATTGATTATTTCTAAGAAACTACGACGAAACGAAAGCCTTACAATTTTTTTTTCTACATTAAATAATATTACTAACGATAATATAAACAAAATTTCGATCAATGC